CTAGCAGATGTCTACTGCAACAGAAAAAACACTGAAATGCCAATGTCTCCGTGCTCGCTGTTTTAACTTTCCTTTCTCTAAGTCTCTGTTCAAATCCCAGTGGTTCCTCTGTCAATGCTCCCCTTCCCACCACAGCTTGTTCCTTTGCTCAGTCAAGACTCGATTCTGCTTGATTTTGTCTGCTCTACCAGTGTGCTCTCTTTCTGGCTTCCACATCTATCCTCTCATTTCTCTTAGTCCTAGGCTCCAAGCATATAGTCCCCCTCCAATTCCTCATTTATGTGTACCTGTCCCCTTGCCTTGAACTTGATCTCCTCGAGTTCTCGAGACACCAAATCCCAGTATCCTATCCCTACTACTCTGATGTTAAGCTTTTCAACCCCCTAGTAGTTCCAGTCTCACCATGTCCCCTGCCTCCATACTTACTGTTTCCCTCCCCTCCGTCAGGTCCTTGTTCCCTCACCATTCCCATCAGACACGCTCAAGCACCTGTGAAGAGGAGAAAACAGCAGCTTGTTGGGAGCACAGGGGATGGTCTCCATAGCTTCACTCTCAGTCCAGAGACCCACCCTAGTCCATAGTGGCAAACAGAGGTCTCCTTTGGGCCCCACAGCCCACAGTTGGGGTAGACTTGACTGCAATAGTAGCAAGGATGGTGTAGACACATACTAAATCAGGAATGTGGAAAATTAATTTCTTCAAAGGCTTATGAATTATGCTAAGTATAGTCAGAAGATCAGGCACCCCCCTCCCAATTCAGTTTTTCATGACAAATTCCAAGTTTGCTCTAGAGCATAAAGGCATGTAAGCACTTCAAATACAAGATCTCAAAATATTTTATCCTAGACAAAGCCCCTTTTTTCCTGCCTTTATTCGTAGATCATGTTTGGTAGCAGCAAAGTCATCCAAAACTTCCACTCTCAGTATGGAAAATTTCATGCCAAGCCATGGACATTTAGCAAGTGGTATGCTACCTAAAGCATAGTTTAGCAAGCAAAATTTAGCAAGTGGTACGCTACCTTTAGGGGCAGTTAAATCTTAGTGAACTCATTTAACGGAAAACAACTGATAATCCTATTGTAGGCATTGTTATATATTTGAATCATAACATATTTCTAAATGCAAAGTAGTATTTAAGCTAGTAATAAGAGCACATATGTGTGAAGAAAAATTATTAAGCTCTTCATTTTTACCTTTATTTTTATGCACTGCAATTACACAATACATTTTCCTCAATTGCGAAATCTCAGAAGAGTGGATGATTTTGTAATCCAGAGCTGTTGACAGTAGACTAACAACAGTTGCGTAACTGTGGTGAAATAGAAACATGGATTTACTCTTAACTTTCCTTCCACTGACAAGCCTACGTAGTCATTAACGCTCTTTTAGCAAGTATTCTTTTATTCCAAGGATTAGTTCACTGAACGGTAACAACTGGCTACCTTGGCACATGCAGACACAACTCCCTGGAAGTGCTGTCCCTTTCCTGGCTAGCAGACCTTCAACAATCTGCTCCAGCAGAACACATACGTTACCTTAGGAAACAGCAAAATGTCTCTTGCCCATCCTTCTTCAAACTACATTTCTAATGAACTTAAGCCAGAGCTCTCAAGTGTTTTCTTATTACTGATAGCAGGGACCAACCTACAGACAGTGCTCAGAGGATTTATTGTGCCAGGCCAGTAAGATCCCATTGTTATTGTCTTTCTGCAGCAGTAAGTCTGAGCTTTATCTTTGCATTGCGGTAACGTTAAGGGCACACTTCTCATATTAAGCTGAACAAAGAGTGTCATTATATATTAACCTTAACTGCACAGAACATAATTGAACTCAGCGGGGCTACTGCCCTCTGTATTTCAGCAGGACTCGACTTTGAAGAAATAATAATTCACTGGTTTACAAAGGCAGAAATAAACTTTTTTTTTATTATACAAGAATTGCAGGTGCAATACTGTGATTACCGACACTGGCATGATTCACCTTGAGATTTCAGTTGTATCTTGCCAGAAGGTATTAGCAAGCCCCAAATGACTCCAACAACACTACTATGTGGCATTTGGAAGTTCCTTCCCTAGTGGGAACAAAACCATCTCTTTTCTTCCAATGTTGAAAATTAAATGCACAGTATTAGCACCATCAATGAGGTGTTTAACTTCAAAATTGCCTTTCCTGGTGAGCATGAAGATGCTGTTTCCCTTTTTAAAATTAACAGCAGTACTTTTCTCTCTTTCCTACTACAAGCACTTGTTTAATCAACCCAAGACACGTCTCTAATGCTCTGGGTATACACCTATGCTTGTTCATGTGTGCACTTGCGTGACATCCCATGCTCTGGGGCTGGGATCTAGCCTGTTTCCAGTATGAATCAAGCACACAGTAATTAAGTAGAATAAATATGTCTGGAAAAAAACAGGTAAGGAAGACAGAAGGCTCGATTTTGGTTTAAGTCATCTTTGTACAAACAACAAGGCCACACTGATGCAGAAGCAGCATTAGAGAAAATTAGCCCCAAATTAACAGCATAAGGTGCCAGAAAGGTACTGGACCATTGAAGTTGCTCACTACAGCCCAAACCTGTTGTGAGCCATTCCAGAAGCACGCATGACTGTCCTCTGGCTTTTATTTTTTAAATACCTATGTTTGTGTTCACATGTATGGTCAGTGGGCAAAGAGGTGAAATGGCTCTCAGTTCATTCGTCCTCTAAAACAGGCCAAGAAAAAGTTGTTCTAATCAGTCCTTGTTCTAATCAGTACTCTAGGACCAAGTAATGTACTAGGCTCTGCAGCTGTGCTGAGTCTCCAACACTCCCTAGAACGATGCCTTTGGAGGAGCCCGGAACTCACAGGTGAGTCCATATAATCTTATAAACATGGAGTGACCAAGAGCAGACACAAAACTCCAAGGTGTGGAGGCCTACCTCTGATGTTCAGCATCTGGAACTGCTACTCCACCCAGCAACACCAGAATATAACTTCTGGAGATCCCTCTGAATGGACATGATGCCCCCTATCACCTTTTGGAGTCTAACCCTCCCCAGCTCCTACCTTTAACTGGTATATGAGCAGCTCAGCATGGACTAGTCCCTTAGTCACTTCACTTGACAGCTCAGATGGTTGTGGAGGATAGTGCATTCAAGGCTGCGCTGTTTGCTCTGCTACCTTTGCAAGAGTACAGGCAGTCCTGCTACAGCTCCTCAGCCCTGGCTGAATTCCTGCTGTCCCTGATGGGCAGATCTCAAGCCTGGGCCAAGTCCCAGCTGGCTTTGTTAGGAAGCAAAGTGGTTCACTGGAAAATGTGACAAACAGGCTGGCAGCATGGTTGATCTTGGCTTGAGTGCAAACTGAAACCTCTTGTTTGCCAGGGATTCTATTCACCCTTCCCTTCTAGGGGCTGTACTGACCATGAAGTTAAGAATTGTGGTATCACAGACTCAGAGGTCTAGGAGACAGGCCCGCCTTATTTGTAAGTGGAAACCCTTGTGTGACAGATCATGCTCTTCATATATTTGAGCCTACGTTACCAGATAACCACATGCAGGACTGATACAATTAATGCCTGGAAACGGATGGGCAACACTACACTGGTGGTGACCACAATGCTGTTTCTAAACTTACTGGCATTGTTTCTAAACAAAACCATTCCTCCAAGACACCCATGCCAAAGAATATACAAACTTTCTGCCCTTTTCTTCCTCTACATGCAAACAGAAAACAATAGTGAATCTGTCAGGTCCCATCCCACTCATTACTGTTCGCTCGCTCTCTGGCACTGAATTATTCCTGTCAATGTACAAGATAACATTGCGTGGGCTAACCAAGAAAGTGAAGGAAAAGCACTTCCACTCTAACAACAGATACAGAGCAAAAGTGCATTGGACTGTCTTTTTCTGGCTTAGTTTCCCTAATCACTTAGTTTTGCACCATAGAGGTACTACAAGTTAAACTACTACATAAGAACTTCCATGAAATAAGATATTAGTCACTTAAGAAGAAACCCTCCTTCCTTAAATGCAATCTATCTTGTAGTTCACTTCATGATGGTGTGTTAAACATTGAAAATTTAAGCAAACATGGATTTCTAGTTCAGGGGGAAAAATCAATACAGCTCTTCTGGGATGACCCTCTGGAATTCAAAAATGTCTCCTCTGTTGCACTAATTCAGCAAGCACCATCTTGGCAGATTGAAGCTTCTATTTTCACAGCGTCCTCACTACTTTTTCATACAGACTTCTTCAATTGTTTTTTAACCAAATTCTGGGGTAAACTTTTGCAACATAAAGACAGTCCACAGAGTTCACGAACAACTATCTGAACCCTTTGTAGCCAGCAGCCCTCATGCGTAGAACCCCTTATTTAGTATTTCCTCCAAAATGCTGCACCAACCAATTTCCTTGCCGCTACCTTCCTACCACGTGCCAAGGAGGTAAAACCACAGATTGATCCCATGGACTCTGACCTCAGTAAGGCCGGAATGAATCTGTAAGCAGCGCTTTTGTTCACATTTCTACCCGGCAAAGTGGGTAACCGTGGCGGTACCATCACTTCTCCCCCAGCACCCCAACACACTGAGAGAAGGACGCGGGTCCAGCCAGCCTGTCGCAGGCCCCAGGGCTGAGGATGGCCGGTAAGCCGCGCTCCAGAAGCTGCACGAGCCTAAGGGCAACAATTTGTGTGCGGTACCCACGCATGCGCTGTGGAAAAATCGCAAGCTTCGGCTACAGTACCAAAAAAAAAAAAAAAAAAAAAAAGCTAACTCCAAACCCGCGGGCCGTATGAAAATGCTTATAACGGAGTTCGCTCCAACCGGCAGGGGAAGCGCGGCGCCCGCGTTACCGACCCCCGGGCTCCCGCCGGCCGTGGGGACGGGGGCGGAGCGCGCGCCGGTTGTGAGGTCATCCCGCGCGGCCGGAAGGAGCTGGAGCGGTTGTTTCCGTCGGTTTGGGGGGGGTCCGGGGGGGGGGGGGAAGCGGAGGAAGGGCCCCGCGCGCGCGGAGCCGGGGCGGGCGCGGCGGCGGGGGGAGCGGGGCGAAGCGAAGCGAAGCGGGGAGGGGGCGGCCATGGCGGCGGGGAAGGCGGCGGCGGCGGCGGCTGCGGCCGAGCCCCTGGGTCGGACGGCGGAGGAGGTGTCTTGGGCGGAGGCGCTGCGCGGGGCCTGCGAGCCCGAGCACCACTGGCGGCACCGCCGGGAGTTCCTGCTGCGCAACGTGGGGGAGCCGCCGGCGGCGGGCAGCGCCCAGCTCCAGCGCCTGGTCTCCCTCTCCATGGTGTGGGCCAACCACGTCTTCCTGGGCTGCCGGTGAGTGCGGGCCGGGGCGGCGGGCCCGCGGCCGGAGGGCCGGGGGAGGGCGCGGCGCGGCCGTCTGACGGCTTCCCCCCCCCCCCCCCCCGCCCCCTCTCCCCTTGTCGCCCCTCCAGGTACCCGCCGCAGGTTATGGAGAAGGCGCTGGAAATGGCGGAAGGCATCCGAGTGACCGGCGCGCCTGTCCGCACCACGAGAGATGAACTGGTTGCCAAGGTGAAGAAAAGAGGCATATCAAGTAGCAATGGTTAGCAGATCATAGCTGTGACAATACATAGGAGTCTAGAAAATGCTTGTTTTTCCGTGTTCTCGGGTGTAGAAAGCAGTCGAAGTAATTTACTCCCCTCTCCGCTATTTTTTCCTTGTCTGATATCTGTAAAATAGGTGTAATACGTATGCATTGTGTCGGTAATGTAGAGCTCTTGCTTTGAATTTCTGTAACTGCTGCCCTTTAAGCTGATTTTTTTTTTAATGCGCTGGAGGCTATTGGACTCCAGCTTAAACACAGTCATGTTGCTTTGCGAGAAACTTAGTTTCTTAAAGAAATATTGAAAGTGATATTTTAAAGGTGTTTTTATTATACTAGTAGAAAAGTACATTTTTTCGGTTTTAGGTCAGATAGTCTATTTAATGTACTTTGGTCACTTCTGGTTTGGACTTTAAGAATAGAAATACATACTCGCCTACGGGTCCCAAAACAAAACCTGAAATCTTGCACTTAAGTATTTTTAGTTTTTGACAAAAAATAATAAAATATTCTGAAATAGAAGGTTAATAATCGAAATTACAGTTCAAGGTATATTCCTAATATATGCTTTTTAAATGAACATAAAATTGCTAGAAGCTTTTAGAAAATAGATAAATTGTTTCTAGATGGATATTTTGTAGTGCAGAATTTAAAGAGGATAACGTACTTTACTTGTTTTGCAGAAGGGATAGAGGAGCCCTCCAAGAAGCGAGCTGTTGAGAAAAGCAAAGAATCTAAGGATACTGGAAAAGATGTGAAAACAACCAAGGCAGAAGCCCTGAAGGAAGCAGAGAGCACATTGCCAAAAAAGCAGGAAAAAGATACTAGCAAAGATCCCGAAAGCTCCCAGTCTACTTGCAGCTCCCAGTCTACTTGCAGCTCAAATCAAGAAATGGTCACAGCATCGCCCATAGAAACAGAAGGAAAGCCTGCTAGTGCTGAAAATACTACTGAGCAAAATCCATCTTCATCTGAAAAAGAGTCGGGCGAGAAGCCTTGCTCAAATCCACCTAAGGAAAGCAAATGTGAAGATGTGCCGTCACCTGAAAAGAAAACTACGGTAAGCACAGTGCCACCGGCAGCCAAGAGCACCCCGCAGGCAGCGGCGGTGCCGCCCGCCGTGCCACCGACCTCCAAGAGCACCCCGCGGGCAGCGGTGGCAGTGCCAACAACCATGCCACCGGCCCCCAAGGGCACCCCGCAGGCAGCGGTGGCGGCAGCGGCAGCACCGGCCCCCAAGGGCACCCCGCAGGCAGCGGCAGCACCGGCCCCCAAGGGCACCCCGCAGGCAGCGGCAGCACCGGCCCCCAAGGGCACCCCGCAGGCAGTGGCAGCACCAGCCCCCAAGGGCACCCCGCAGGCAGCAGCTTCAGCGGCACCACCGACCCCCAAGAGCACCCCGCAAGCAGCAGCGGCACCACCGACCCCCAAGAGCACCCTGCAAACAAGTGCTACATTGCTGTCTTCCAAAAACCAAGCGAGTGCCCCGGCGTCGGCGTCCAAGAGCGGCTCTCAGGCGGGCGCCTCGCTGCTGCTGGCTCCCAAGAGCAGCGCCCAGGCGGGCACCTCGCTGCTGCTGGCCTCCAAGGGCGCTGCCAAGGCGGGCTCCTCGCTCCTGGCCTCCAAGAGCAGCGCTGAGGTGGCTGCCTCGTTGCTGGCCGCTCGGAGTGGCGCTCAGCAGGGCTCCTCGCTGCTGGCCTCCAAGAGCAGCGCTCAGGTGGCTGCTTCGCTGCTGGCCGCTCGGGGCGGCGCTCAGCAAGGTCCCTCGTCGCTGGCTTCCCGGGGTGGAGCTCAGGCAGGTGCTTCCTTGCTGGGCTCCAAGGGCGGCACGCAGGCAGGTTCGCCACAGCTTGCCTCCAAGAGCGGCTCGCAGGCGGGCGAAAGCCCTGCTAAGGCTTTGTGCAAACCATTAACTAGCGAAGACGCGAAGGAAAGACAGCCTTTTTTCAACAGACTATACAAAGCTGTAGCTTGGAAACTGGTTGCTGTTGGAGGCTTCAGTCCTAACGTTAATCACGCAGAACTTCTAAACTCATCGATTCAGTCTGTAAAAGCTACGTTAGATGTTGCTTTTGTTCCCCTGAAGGAACTCGCAGACTTGCCTCAAAATAAGAGCTCTCTAGAAAATATAGTTTGTGAACTGAGGTGCAAGTCTGTCTACTTGGGTACTGGCTGTGGTAAAAGTATGGAAAATGCCAAAGCGGTTGCTTCAAGAGAAGCTTTGAAATTATTCCTCAAGAAGAAAGTTATTGTGAAGATATGTAAAAGAAAATACAAAGGTAGTGAAATTGAAGATTTGGTACTTCTGGATGAAGAATCAAAACCTTCAAATTTACCTCCAGCTTTAAGAAATCCTCGTGAGATCTTGTAGGGGAGAATCGCTGTTTGTACCATGTATAGTATTTCAACATAAGGACTGAAGGTTAATTTTGTACTTTAAAAATGTAGGCTTCCAGATATTTTGTATTTCTTTCTCAGTTTTGCAAGACAATGATAGTCCTTTCACTTGGTAGCAATTGTATAAGACTTGTTAGAAATGACAAGTGCGCATTTAAAGGTATGCCTTAATATATAGCACACTAGTGTGCTGTTTTATTTGCAAAATAGTCTACCTAATTCTTCTATTTTTAATTGATTAAGGTACAGTTTGCTGTTTAAAACCTGACAATTTTGTAATTCTTACGATTTGATGGCAGTGTGCTCAATTGTCTACCATGTCTTTTTTAGCCACGTAGAAGTATGCATATAGGGACCATGATACTTGAATGATTGAAAGTCATTTAAAAATTTCAATCAAAAAGTTGAATCATCTGTTTGAGGCTTGTTGCTCATAATGTTCACTGTTGCTCATACTAGGAGAGGAAATAGTTGGTTGACTATTTTTATGGGATGTTTTCCTAACACTTGCAATATAAATGACACCCTGATCCCATTTAACGTTATACTAGCAGGTTAGATCCCATTTAACCTTCTACTGGCCAAATACCACTTAGCAGTCAAGTCACAGCTACTTCAGCCACCTCAACTCTGTAAGCAGATTTAATTTATATTCTGAAATATCATTTACAGTTTTTTTTCAAACAAACAGATTTCTATACTGAGCATATTTTGACCGCTACTAAAACAATAAAACCTCTGGGATATGCTTTTATAGTACTTTGGGTTTGGCTATTAAATGTTCCAGCCATTTCAATAACTTTGCAACACCTTAAGAAAAGCTTTACTTTGAGTGGCTTCAAGGTGTAATCCCACAAGGATGAGTTAGTTGGTTTTGATGCATAGCTGAAAAGCTGTAAAGCTGATAGAGTGGACCTGCAGAGTATCCATTTCTACTTTTGTAACACCAAGGTAAGCAAAATGAAGATGCTGCTGTCTGCTAGAGATGGCGAGTGTATTGTAAAGCGTTCACACTAATCGAGCCCTTCCTTTGCTACATTTTTATGTCATGTACAGAATGGTTTGAAGCAAAGAAACTGGGAGATTGCCTTTTATTTTCAATGTTACTGAAATACCTGCACAAACTGCATGTTTTGATATATTGGATAATGACATGTAATTGTAAAAACATAATGTCTTCAGTGCTATTTTGAATTAATCTTGTCCGATTACAGTAGTTAACATCATTTAGTGGTGACCTTCCACTTGACTGACATCCATTGAGTGCTGCAGGCGTGAATAGGAATCCCTGGGATCTCGGTAGTATATATGTCCACTTAAAGACTTCCAAGTTCTTTTGTGATTTTTGGGACTAAACCACAATGGCGTTGTCACACTGTACCCTATGTGACTTTGAACGGCGGTGGCTGTCCAGCCCGTGGCACCCGAAGCCTGCCAGGCGCTCGCGCTTCCCGAGGGCTGGCTGAGAACTTCCTCCACCTGACCGACCCCTGTGCTGCTGTGCCCTCGCTCTAGCTAGGTTTCTCAGGAGTTCCCCCTCGGTGTTTCTGGAGCATCCCCCGACGTTCGGAGCGCCATGCATTAAATCGTGTCTTACACGGCGTAAGAATTGGCGTGTGCTTCTAGCACAGAGTGAGTTTCATGCTGTACTTAGCAGTTGTATTCATGACAGGAAGGGTGAGATCTGGTGTCAAATCCTCACCCTGTTCTGGTGAGACACAGAGTGGTGGAGACCCAGAATGATTGGGTTTGGGGGGGCAGGAATTGTGTCCTCTGAAGTTTAGTTTTTCTGCCTGGTAGTTGGGGCACCTCCAGGTCTCCGGTTGAGAGCTGCAGCATGTGTTGCGATGTGAAGACCCGTGTTTCCTGTCTGTAAAGCAAAGCTCACAGTATCTACTGACCTCAGGGGGTGTTAGGGTAACTGTGTTAAAAGGCTGAGGTGCTAGATGCCTTTTTTTTAAAGTCCTGACTTAAGCTTACTTTTTTTAAGAATTTTTGAATGTTATTCCTCTTTGATGTTTGGTTGTGATTCATTAAAGGACGAGTCTGTAGCTACTCTTAATAGAAACTGAAAGTTGAAGTGTGTTATTTTTATTCCACATTCTGCATGGAAAGCAGCTCAGCAAGGAGATTCTAACATACAAGTAAATAAGCAGTATTTGAATGAGAATATATTAACATTTCATTAACCCTAGAGGAAGACAGTTTGAAAGAACTGGCTGTGGCAGGAGATGTTTGTGCAGCCCTGTCCGTTTTAAAACCTCTGGGTCTCCCTGCCAGGTACTGTCCTGGTCTCTAGCCATTGGGGTGCTGGTCTTTAATTGTTAGAAGTTGCTGACGAGGACTGGCTGGAACAAATGCACCGACACAACAGATGGGCAGAGTTGTCTCGGGGCGGGGAGGGGGGGTGGAAACGACACAGATGAAACCAACCAATGGAAAGAAAAACTGACCCTGTTTTTTTCTGCAAGAGTACAGGAAATTGCAGTCATCAAAAGTTACTCCTGTTTCCTCTGAGGGCTGCTCGAACAGCCTAAATGCGTACTGCCGGTTCCTCGCGGGCAGCTGCCCGACTGGTTGCGGGTGGCCGGCCCGAAGGCGCAGGCCGGTTCAGGCTGGCGGCAGAACCGCCGTTCTCCCGGTTCGCCGGCGTGCAGCGGCGCGGGGCGCTGGCCGCGAGGTGGCGCTAGAGCGCCCTGCAGGCCTTGCCGGCGGGGGGCGTGGCTCGGGGGCGGAGCCGCGGCGCCCTAATTTGCTTAATATATTCCCCCGGCGGTGCCGTTCCCTCCGTGAGGGGGGTATTGCGGCCACCCGAGAGCGTGGCGCTCCTGCGGGGCGGCCGGGCGGCTCCTATGCCTGTGCACCGTCGGCGGAAACCATCCGGGAGGGAAACGGGGCGGCGAGCGCTCCTCGCTCTAACCGGGAGGGCTCCAGGCCTGCCGCCTCATATAAAGCGTCCGCGCCGGCAAACCGAGAGCGGGATGTTCTGAAGACCTGCTCGCTAGGCCACGCACGGAGGACGCTGGTTCCTCACGGGCCGCGCGCCCGCCTAGGGGAAAGTCCCCGGACCGCTGGCAGAGAGTGCCGGGCGCTGCCCGCGCCCCCGCCCGCCGCCGCCTCACGCACAGCGCCGCCGAGACGCCCCCGGGCCGAGCGGGTGAGCGCGGGGCGGGCCCTCGTCACGGCCACAGACACGCAGGTAGTGCGCAGGCGCACTAACAGAACGGGGCTCACTCTCAGGTCATCCCCTTTTTTTTTTTTTATGGGAAGCCGGGAGAGAGGTCTGGCTGCGTCGTCACTTCCCCGGCGCCGCAGAGCTGCTTGCGGTACGGGCAAAGCACGCGTGGGGAGACGCTGCTCCCCTGCCTGGCAGGACGCGGGGTCCCGCACCCCGCCTTCTCCTCCTGCCCACTGGGCTTCAGGGTGCACAGGCTCGGTCTGGGGAGGTGGGGCGCCTGTCCCTGCCCGAAAAGGCTCTTCTTCCCTCCCTGTTCCAGGAAGAAACAAGAGGCCAGAAAGAAGTCTCTTATCGCGTTCGTTTGCACCACGCAGAAGTTGAACATCGATCGGGATGGCCCACCCGCGCGGCAGCACACGGCGCGCCGACCCCACGCTCCCTCCGGGCGCCCGCTGCGCCCTCCCGCCGCGAGTGCCGCCGCTGCTACCTGCCCACTCGAGGCAGATGCTCACGCTTACCCTCCCCAAGACGAGGCAGGATGCTGCTGCCTGCGGCAATCACGCACGTAAGTACCAGCCGTGCTGATAAACTGAATTAATTTCATAGACAGGGCCGTTCTTGCCTCTGGTATGTCAAGCGAGTAACACATCACCGTGCTCGGCGGTACACGCGCTGCTGCCCTACAGTCCTGCCTGGCTATAACCAATAATAACATAGCTCAGGCATCTGGGGCACAACAAATACAATTAACACTCCCCTTAACTAAACAGCACCCAAGCAGCCCGGAGCCACCCCTTCCTTCTGGTTCATGCTTCCTTAGTATTTATGAAGCTCCCGGGGTGAGCGCAAGTCCCCCGAAGGAGCGGTGTTCCCCCCCGGGGCAGGCAACAGGCACCCGGCCTATGTGTAGGCACGGCGCAGTTTGCAAACCCTGCTGGCGCCCAGCGTCTGCCGTTCTTCTTCCAGCATCACCCTGGCAGTGACATCTTCCCAGCCGTGCCAGGCCCCCGTGCCAGGCAGAGGGGACCAGCGTGCAGAGCGGGAGTAGCCCCGTGGAGAAGTGGCTACGACAGCCCTGACTGCTTCGCCCGAAAGCTTCGAAAGGGTGCGTGAGGGGCCAGCAAGCCACCTGGTTTGAGCTGTCGTTTTGGTTGCTGTCTCAGCCATTTAAACCACTCGAGTGTCTTTCACTCTTTCCTCCCGTAATTCTTCATGTGATCATATGTATATATGTGGGAAAAGAAGAGATTTCAAATTAAAATGCTATTAACCCATCCCAAAAGAAACAACTAAACTAGAGCACAGGTCTATGAAGTTCTCTGGTTTTTTTGTTTTTTTTTTTTGGTTGATAAGCTGTAATGAAATCCCAGTGTCCTAGTTTCATCTGCTAAAAACGATATATCTAAGGTTCTATGAAGCTAACGTTTCATGAGCTGTCATACCTCCATAGTGCAGGTAGCACCTGCAGTACAGCCTGAAGAGTGCAGACAAGCTTGTGCAGACAAGCTGAAGCTTGTGCAGTGACTGATGTGGGTTTGTTTTTCTTTTTTGGCCCTAAAGTTTGCACTAGAGCACCTTAGCAATTCAGGCTGGTTTTCTCTCTGCGTGGACAAAATTCTCTCACTTGTCATTTATGGTAAGTGTTGGTCTTCAGACTGATTAACAGGAAAGAAAATGTCAAAAATCAAACTCATCTTGACTACAGTATGGTCTAGTGGTCTAGAGACTGAGGGGAAAAAGCACACACTGAAAGAGTTTTGATGCTGTCTGTCTCTCACTAGGCAGATCTGTTCCCCAGCTTTATAAGTTGCAAAGTGCAGAAAAAATAACAGCAATATCTGCTTTGTAGAATATTTTTTAAGCTTTTCTTTCAGCTAAAGTGTGCATTTTTGCCATGTTTTGCATAGTATATCCTATGCCACACTCTTTGTCCATTTAACAACGATTAACCTGTATTTGTGTACCTTTTAGAAGGTTCTGCGAGTTGCCACTGCCACAGCAAAAGTATTGCCATTAGCTAGGCTATGTGTTTTTATGAAAATACTGTCATTTGTGCCCATTACCCCCTGCACCACCCACCATTTTAAATCTGTCAGGAAGTATCAATCTTTAGGCTGTGATTAATTCCGCTCCTCTTCCTCACATGAATTTAAACCTGTGCAATTTCAGTGAACCCCTGTGGTTACAGGAAGACAGTTGCCGCACGTGGCTGAGCTAGGATACTTGCCCATGTAGAGCTGGCCCGAGCGGGGTGTTACCAGCACTTACACGTGACTGTTCAGACCCACGGCTGGCCTTCTGTACGTGGCAGCAGAGGTTTCCCACCTCCCTTGAAGACACACTCACATATGAGCGTTCAGAAAAGCAGGTTTTATGTTGATACCTGGCAATAGTTTCAAATACATTGTAGGCTAATTTTGAAAATGGCACACGATAATTTCTGAGCACAACTGCCTGTTGCTGAGGCAATGGAGGACTGAGTTCCAGTGGTTACCGGTTAGGTATTTGCTGCCTCCAGTAGCATTCCTGCAACTAAAAAAGCATTGTTCACCTCTGACAATCTGAGCCTACAGCCCTTTGAAGTTTGAATTGTCATTGATGGCCAAGTCCAAGTGGATATGAAATAACTTGTTTTAAATGCCACTATCAGAGATGAATCGCATTGGGCAAAAGACACTTTGTCACTAGTAAGAAAGCCAATCTAACCAGTGTTTGCTCAGTTTTCTAAATCCTCTGGTGTTTCACATTTTAACTGCAGTCTAAGAGACAAACTATATTCAGTCAGATGCTGCCCATATTTTGACAGTAGCCTTCCACCCCAAATCCTTCCTTGGTTTAGAGCAACTGTCACATTTATGTTTATTATTTTGGGGAAGAGGATGCCTGAGAGGCTAGGGACATATTCATCTTGTTTAGCCAATAATTTTTCTCACAATTACAACTGAATGATAAGGCAAATGTAAACTCTGTCAGTTTTTGGAAAAAAGCATACACGAGTGTCCTGGTTTCAGCTGGGACAGAGTTAATTTTCTTCCTAGTAGCTGGTACAGTGCTGTGTTTTGGATTCAGTGTGAGAATAATGGTGACAACACACTGATGTTTTAATTGTTGCTAAGCAGAGCTTATTGTAAGTTAAGGTTTTTTCAGTTTCCCAAGTTCTGCCAGCAAGCAGCTGCGCAAGAAGCTGGGAGGGAACATGGCCAGGACAGCTGACCTGAACTAGCCAAAGGGATATTCCATACCATAAAACGTTATGCTCAGTATATAAACTGGGTGAAGTTGGTTGGGAGGGGCCGATTGCTGCTCGGGCCTCGGTCAGTGGGTGATGTGCAATTGAATCACTTCTCTTTTCTTGGGTTTTATTTCTTTATCTTTTTGTTATATTCATTTTCATTGCTATATTTTTATTATTATTATTAGTTGTTGTTGTTATTTTTATTATTGTTATTATTTTAGTTTAGTTTAGCTATTGAACTGTTTCTATCTCAACCAGTGAGTTTTACTTTTTTTCGCTTCTCTTCCCCATCCCAGTGGGAGGGGGGAAGGAATGAGCAAGCAGCTGTGTGATGCTTAGTTGCCAGCTGGGGTTAAATTGCAACGATCACTCATATGTTAGTATAGAATAATACTACTTTTTGGTAACTTGAAGTGGTGGCACTGAAAAATTTGCATAGCAGCAGCACCCCTAAGAAACACATAATGCAGGTGACTTGGTGCTACAGAGTTATTTTGAAGATATGAAATTACTCTCTGGTGATATTTGCAGTGACTTTTCAGTTGCACTAGAAATGAATCATTTGTAGTAGGTTTGGATAAGCAGATTCTAAAGAGAATTAAAAAATCCACACTAGGAAGGAAATAAAATGAGGCTTCCTCCTTTTCGGTGTGGAGTTTTAATGACGTATGCTAAAACTCCCTTCGAGTTTTCAGCGGAACTCTGAAATTCATAAATGATAACTGTGGGCATGTAATTACCCCATTTCCACATACAGAGTGGAATTCATTTCACTGACATCTCTGACAACAGACCTGGGCTCTCCTTACAGTCAGTGCAGACATTTTTAGGGCAAGACCTATTTATACTAAGAATCTCTCTCATTCAACATATTTGGCTGGATGACTCCTTCCTTTATTTCCAGAGTTGGAAAGGAAAATTAATATCCGCATACGGGAGAGTATTATGAATATCTTAAACCATCAAATGCTGAAACTTCCTGCAGGTGCACTGGCAGTCCTCATTTCACAGTCTGGATTACAAAGGTGTGACTGTGTATTCTTGTGCCTCACAAAAGGAAGAAGTAAGAATGTGTTTTTCACATGACCTGTGCTGAATAGCAGAATCATAGAAACGCAGCATGCATGTTAGCGTGTAGCTCAGGTAAGAGTACACAAAAACCCCTTTGTTTATTGTGGGCAAATGGGGCTCAGTTCTTTTTCATTAAAGTCACTTGGATTCTTCCACTTACTTGAATGGAAGCAAGCAAATCCACCGATCATTTATGCTTTAAAACAGTAGGTAAGGAAGAAGAGTATTGTCTGAAAGCTGTTTCTTGTTACTTCAGCCATGAGTGGACAGATCCACATTGTAAATGACAGGGAATGATGCATGTGGCTCTACCCATTGCAGCAGCCCGATGCTGCCCCTCAGGTGCTTAGCAGTGTCCCCCTCCTCTAAGGAGGTGCAGTTCCTATGGCAGCCAGCGTGCTCCATAGCACCTGTGAGAAGCTGGTATTGCTCAGCTCCTACCAGCTTCCAGAGGGAATTCTGAACAGAGCGGATACTCTCAAAAAGAAGCAGTGTGGTTCTGCTCAAAATAAAGCAACAATATGCCAGTGTGCTCTGACCGAAGCAGTGATGTCATATAAAAGTGAATTCCTTAACATCCCCTTCCTTGGGCCTATCAACTGTTCAAGATACTTTTGGGTACAGCCATGGGATTAGGGTATGGAAGCTGAATGGGAAGAATTCTAAAAAAAGATAGTTATTACAAAACAAAGCACAAAGTAAACAGTTTGCACGCTTTACTCCATTTTTCACTCTGCTCATGGTGAGATAAACAACTCATCAGTTTGAAGACAAAAAGATGAGCTGGATATTGCAGCTGCCTTCTTCCCCATGTTAATACAAGTAACTGATCACTAATTTGGGCTCAGGAAGGGATTTGCTTTTAGAGCATATTGGCAGGAAACTTGGAACTTACGCAGTTTTTGAACAGATGTTTGCATTTGGATGAGGAAGAACATACATCTGATCAGTGTGAGTGTTTGTTACTTGGTGCTAGGGAGCTCTTTGATACAGCTGAGGATGAGGCTAGCTGGACAAAAGACACATGTTTTCAGGAAAGGTACTGGTTTAGTTTTTCACTTTATTGAAATGATCTGATGTTAGCCCATGTCTTATTTTTAGATGTCCTACACTTGTGTAAATGAAAGAGAAAAATAATGATGGTGGTATCCATATGATTTGTGTTCCACCAGGTAATTCAAGCCTAATATTTAAGGAAAATCAAAAGCAATGACGTCTGCCATTACAGGTAAGTATCTTTTTTGGATGACCTGATGTTAGAGAAGTTTTCAAGAATAGCTTACCTGGACAAATGCACTACTATCTCTGTAGCTCTGGCAAGGATAACCTCTTCATGGAATATCACCTATGAGAAGGTCAACTATGGCTGTACTGATTCTTTCTTTTCTTTATGTTTCTCTCCTTGGTATCTTGGAGAATTCTTTGTCCTCTTCAAACGAAAGCAAAGAAGCATACCTGCCAAGAAATACGTATCGTCAAAACCCAGTTCTGTTCCATTTGCTTAAAAGAAGCACCCTGTTACCATCCTTTGAGCATTTCCACTAAATGCTAAGTAGGTCTTTCACAATTACAGCCCCTTATGGACTTGTCCTCATCAGTAATGCTGCTTTTCATTATTTTTACCACAGGCTGAAACCCTTCCTGGGCTATCAGTGGAAATCTGAAAAAAAATCTAACCAACCTGGGTATTATTAGGTGAAACAGGACAGGAATCTGCTATGATGTGAGGATGTAAAATCAGGGTTATGAAAGAGAGAGAGGCAAAACTGCAAATGGGGAAAATAAATTTTGGATTAAATAACTGGAAATATTTTATCATAGTAAAATCTATAATGTAATAAAATAATCTTTCACAAAAAGAAGGGGAATACCCTGATTGGGACTTTTAAAAACTATGTAGGGAAATGAAAAAGAAACAAAACTGTTGGGATCTATTCTCCATGAAAAGTGGGGATAGCTTAGAGACATATAAATAAATCTAAATAAATTGAATATAGGACTTCTGTGTATTATTTACTCTTGGAAGACAACCACTGAGGCAGGTTTTATGCAATACACCCTAATAACACATCCCTGATACCACCGTGAATGTCAACCTCAAGCTGACAATTCTCCGCTTAGGGGGGAGGGTTGGTAGAAATGTGTGGTCATTCTGCCCATCCATCTCTACAAATAGCAGGGGTTTGCTCTGTCATGCCTCCTCTTATATTCAGATTGTTCTCACAAGCAGTCATCAAAAGAAGAGACATAGTTGGGTCGCAGAGGCTATCAACCTGCAAATTTGAGTCCAGTACATCGCTTGCTCCTGGCCCTTTTGAGGCATGATCAAACCAGAGAATTCAGCCAGCTGCTCTTGCTTTCCTCCTCCCCGAGGCTTCAAACATGCAGCAAGCTAAGGCTTCTCTTTCCTAGGGGAATCTGGCCTAACATAACTGCTTCATTCTTAAGAATGCTCAAAATTTAAACCTTGATTTTAGTCTTCAGAAGCAGCAGACAACATTTAAATTCAGGAAACAATAGCTGATCTCTGCTGTACCTTAGATACTGCTTCCCCCATAGTGACAAACAGCAAGTTTTTAGCACAGAAACCACCTGTAACAAATGTTATGAAGTAATGTAAAAAGACCTTCTTGGCTATTTCTTTACCAACAGAAAATGCAGTTTTCTGTCAGTAAAAAAGTGATGCTAAAATATTATTTTTAAATTAACATTTAATTGTTATTAACATTTGCTTTTAAATAACATGCCAATTTTTAATTAATGTTTTTGCTTTATTTTTCTGCTCTGTAGGGGAAATCCCTATTTCTCAGCTTTATTTCCTCATGAGATGGCAGAACGATACAGCCATTCAAACTTACTATAAGCAGAAACACAGCCCCTCAAGACAGCCAACATCTTTCTAAAGAATATTGTATCACTTCTATTAATCCAGGTTCTTTTGCACTAGTATGCAGGTAGTGCTTTAGGCCTGTACAGTGTTATCTGTTAATATTATACAATGTAATTCAACTGATGAGGCTTCAGTTACTCAGAAGTGACAGCAATGAACTCCGTACAATAAAGTTTCAGTGGTTGGCTGATGGAAGTGAAGGTAACTACAATATTTTCACTTTCTAAATCTATTTGTGCAAAAATGAGACAAGTAGCATGAAGTGATCTGAGACTTAGCTTTATTAATCTGAGCTGTCACAATACACAAAAAAGAAGCAGCTGGTTTTACTGGTGTTACGGATTTTAAAATGAAGGTGTCCTGTTACAAATGTGAACACACCGAGTTGCAGACTTCCTGTTTTTTTGGCCAGTGACATCAGCGTAATAAAGAATGTTTTTAAAGTACTGCCCACAACTTTGTTTTAATTCGTTTTTATGAACTTGGCAACACATTGCTGACTTGGGCAAAGCCATCAGTCTACAGCAAGTTACCCAACATCTTAGACAGAGAAGTATGAAAATCACTGTCATGTAGGATACCAGCTTTAGCAGCTGCATGAGTTATAAGTTAAGAATGTGTTTACATACCTTAATGAACTGGGGTCTTAAGAAAATAATACTGGCAGCCTGCTATCGTGTGAGATGCTGATCTGTGGGGCTGGTAGGACAAAATCAGCAAAGTTCAACACACTAACTTTGTTGTAGGACTAGCCATGGAGCCATCTGGCACAGCTCATGTATTCACCGAATCATAGAAAAAAAAAAGTATGCTGGAAGGGATCCTATGGAGGCCATCAAAGCAGAGCCAGCTTCACAGCCAGATCAGGTTGTGCCAGGCTCTGAAAATATACAAGGATGGAGACTCTCCAACCTCTCTGTGCAGCTGCTTAACCACTACTCTAGATCATGCCACCCTGAAACATCATCTGCAGGATTAGTACGGGTACTCTTTTAGAGCTGGCCACTTACCTATAGGTAGGAATGTAAGACAGAAGGGTTTTCAGGGGGTTGGATTTTTTTTTTTTTTTTTTCATTTTACCCTTGGATTCAATCATTTCCGCTGCTGTTTTTTTTTTTTTTTTTTTTCCTGAGTTTGCCAGATGTCTTATTTCTCCCCACTTTTTTCAGGTTCCTGAAATATAAATGCAATGTACTGCAAAATGTACAGGTCTCCTCAGGATGTTTCAAGACTCCACAAAATTTTTTTTTTTTCCTGATGCTTACCAATTATTATTCATGTAGTAAAGATCAGAAAAATGTCTGAAAGAGGTGGGGATGAAATCTCAAACTTTTAGTAATTCTATCTGCTTTGTATCATTCTCCCAGCAGGAAAAAATATATTGCTAAAAAGTGTATTTCTACTTTTGTTTCCTACTATATTTGTTGTGGCCAACATTTGATACAAATTCTGCAACAGCCTTGGGAAAGACAGTATACTCTGTCAAAACTCGGAGATTTGTTGGCAGGTGAGTGGGTTTTAAAAAGCTAAACTTCTTTGACGCCTTATTTAAAATTCTCTGAAATGATTCCTCAGGATAAAATGTCACTCAGCTTCCCTAATTAATAGTTTATCACAGATCATTTTGCTCTTTAAAGCTAAATCACGTAGCTCTTATTATGGGCAAGAACAGTCTAAACTGCTGCTTCTTACAGTTGGAGGATGTGAATTAATTAGATGCTTCACCCTATCAACTGCTACAGTGAGAAAAGCTCGACTATGGAGCACACTCGTGTGTAGCAGAAATTTGCCTTCCCTGCACATAGCCTGTCACTATGCTATTGGCACAAACCTCACCTCACAATGAAAACTGCTCTTCAGAAATAAACTGTTGCGGATGTAGCTCACAACAGTGTTTGGGAGAGAACTACGTAAGCCATTTGCAAACAGTTTAAAGTGTACATACATTTTATTGCAATAAAACTTACTTGCATTCCCCTCCTGTCAGACACGATGCCTTTGGAAGGGTGCATTTTGAGAGATTTAGTGCCATTAGTGCTAATGGATTATTTTGTATGCCGAAATATTCCAAGAAAATGAGAGGACGGTGCAAAGGGTAAGTCTTGAGCATCAAATGTAAAACTTCTGCGCTGCTCAGCTTGCTCAAGTATATTTTGTATTATCTCCTGAAGATGTGGGACGTTCGGGCTTACGCCTGAAAACACAGCGCAGAGCACGACGGCCTATACAGGCAACAAGTGTAATCCACAGCAGCCGTAAAAGCCATCCTTGAGGTAAACTCCTCAGCGTCTCCAGGGACGACGCATATTTTGGAAAGAGCGAACACGGCGGGGAGGGGACTGACCGAAAAAGGGCGTTCACGAGTGCTGACAAATTCACCCCGCGAGGGCAGGAGCGGGCACGCCTGGGGGACACTCTCGGTCCTTAGAGCCGGGTCTGAGCCCTCCCAGCCCCGCGAACAACTCCGCAGCGGCGGAAGCCGGCTGGGAGCTGGAGGCGGGACGGGGCCGCTCACACCTGGCGGGCATTTCTGCTCGCCTCGCCTCACACCGGTGCAGCGGCCCGGCGGCCCCTGAGGGAAGGCGGCGATGGCGGGCGCAGGCAGCGCGGCGGTGCCCGGGGAGGGGAGGGGAGGGGGGGCGAACGCGCCCGGCCGTTGGGGGAGCCCCGGCCCCGCCCCACGCGCGTGCCGCCTCAGCACCTCCCCCTCCCCCCCCCCGCCCACACACGGGCGCCGCTGGAGCACCTGGTGCGGGGCGGGCCGAGCCGCCCGGCCATCGCCGCCCCTCGGCAGCTCCGCTCCCGCCGCCGCCGCCGCCGCCGCCGCGCTCTCCCGGCGGGGGTCACCGCACTCCGCCCGGGCGCGGAAAACAGCGAAGGCGGGGCGCCTTTAAGGGAAGCCCCGCCTCCGCGCTGGCTCCCGCCCCCCCCCTCCCCCCCCGCCGCGCGCCGGGCCAGTAGGAGCGGGCGAGAGAGGAAGGCGGGAGAATGCGAACCCCTCGCCGCGCCGCTGGCCGCGCCTTATAAGGGCAGGGCCTCGCGCATGCGCGCAGCCCGGCGGGCAGGGGCGGGGGCTCCGAGTGGGTTTTGCTTCGGCGGCGGCGGCGGCACCGCGGCGGGAAGGGGTGCGGGACCCCGCGGCGGGGCGGCCCGGCCCGGCGCTCAGCCCTCGCCGTTGCCCGCGGCGCCTCGGCCCAGCGCGGCCGCCGGCGGGTAGAAGGGGGGGCGGCGGCAGCAGAAAGAGGAGGAGGAGGAGGGAGCGGAGCGGGGCCGCCGCGGGGACCCCGCGCCCGGTACGGGCGGCGCGGCGGCGGATGTGCTGCTGGCGCGGTGGGATGATGCTGGCGGGGCCGCAGCTGGTGGCGGGGCCGGCGACGCCGGGCGGGGAGCGGGCCCGGCTGCTCTCGCTTTACGTGCAGGACTACCTGGAGTGCGTGGAGTCGCTGCCGCTGGACATCCAGCGCAACGCCTCGCTGCTGCGGGAGATTGACACGCAGTGCCAAGGTGGGCGCCGCCGCGGGACGCGGCCTCCGCCACAGTGCACCGGGAGGGGGGGGGGGGGGGGGTTGGCGGGGAGGCGGAAAGGGGGTGGGGAGGGAAGGGGGGCGGCCGCCCGCCCGCCGCACATGCGCCCGGCGCGGAGGGGACGGAGCCGGGGCGGGCCCGGTGGAGGCGGGCGGCGGGAGGGGGGGGGCCGCCCGCTCGCCGGGGCCTGCGCGGCGCTGAGCCCGCGGCGGTGCCGGGCGGTTCTGCCCGAGCGGGCGGCTGCCGGTCCCTCCCGGGGGAGGGAGGACGCTCTGCGGCGGCGGCGGCCCCGCCCCGGGGGTGGTGGGAGCCGGCGGTGCCTCGCCGCCCGGTGCTAGGCCCCGCTTCCCCCCGCGGGTTGAACCGGCGGCGGTGCTGCTTGGGGGGGGGGGAGAAATCGGTTTTACACGGCCCGCCGCCGCCGCGTGGGAGTGGGGGGGCCGCCTTCCGGCGGGGCTGTGCCCCCCCCGCCCCCCGTCCGACGGTAAATCGCCCATCTCCGGCCGCCGGGCGCTGCGGGCGGGCGGGCTACAGCGAGTGTTAGCGGCGGTCCCTTGGGGCACGGGGAGGGCGGGAAGTTACCCCTGAACTTCAGGCAAAGGCACCGGCGGCTTCCGAAACGCGGGTTAAATAGCCATTAAATCCGTTCCGCCCCGCGCTCTCGGCCTGCGGTGTCTTTAGATTCTCATTACTGCCCAACCCACCGCCGAATCGTAAGACGGGATCTACTGCCGGCAGCAGAGGCCCCAGTGGCGTGGACCCACGGCAGGAGTGGGGGGAAATTTGGTGCCGTGGAGTAGGAACTGGAGCCGTATCCCCCCTCCCCAGTGGTGAGCGTTCCCTCAGTACGGGTAAGAGGGCACCGTTGTGGCCTGTTTCGGACGTTAACCGGGCCACCTTAGAAGGTGGCTGTTGTAAAGGGATTCTTTCAATTATCTAATTACCCGGAAAGATACACAAGAACAGGCTTTTGTAAGTTTTGTGTGCCTTTAAAATTCTACGGGGCTCATAGACTTGTCTGCAGCATTCTGCATTCCTAGTCAAGGCCAGGCTGCCTAGCAGGCTCTTGACCTGATCTGTGGTGACTAGCCAATACTCCACATCTCTCACCAATAGTTTCAGTTTTTTATTTAGGCTATATCTTCTGTATGTATTCCTCCAGCCACTAATACAATACCCGGCCAAAGCAGAAGTTTGTTGCTAGTTTTGCCAAAGCCTTGAACTGTTTTAAGAAAAGAACATCAGAAACCCGAAACCCTAAAAATTGGATAAAAATATTTTAGGCCCAAGTCTGAAGATATAAAAGCAGTGATATATAATTTCAGCTAATTTGAAAGGTAGTGATAGTTCACGCAAAAGGGACAAAGCAACTCCTGTGCTTGGAAAACTGAAATCCTTTTAGCTTTTATTAGCTACACCAAACTTAATCTGATTATTGGTAATGAACACTTGGCCCTGGTTTGTGTTGGTGTTTCTGTAGTATTTTTGGTGTGTTTGTTTGTTTTTGTTTGGTTTTTTTGTTTGTTTTTTTTTGTTGTGTTTTTTTTTTTTTTTAACAGAGGCTTCAGAGCTATTTAGTTGGGCATGTGGATACCTTCTCTAAACTTAGGGATCAACTGGTGAACCTGCATCTCTGTCAGTCCAAAAGTTCTTTCCTCTTTTTAGTGGATGGTGATCCATTTTAAGTGTTCAGTATATCTTTATGAGCTGCATCCAGGAAATCATCAACATAGAGGGAATGTTGTTCTCTGCCACAGTGTGAAAAAGAGAACAGTTACTGCTTGTGGGTTCTTCTGGGCAGGGCATTTCCAATATGGGAAGTCTGTGTAACTATACCTTCTACTCCCCCCCTCCCCCCCCCCCCCCCCCAGTTAAAAAAGCTGTGTGGGTGATAATGTGGCTGCAGAATATCATACTCTGGTTATGCCCTGGTAGTTCAACAGCATACAAAGCTCCTTGCTCCATGCTTTTCAGGAGCAGAGTAAGATTTTAATCCCCCCCTGGTCAGGGCAACAAGCAAGCAATGCAGCTGGAGATGCAGGGAAACAAAGCTTGTGTTTTTAATGGTAACTGGAATGCTAGTATTGAGAAAAACTAGATTGAGTTATTGGACAGAGTAGTGATTTTTATCTTTACATAGTGAAAGTCTGGAACAGAACAATATGCTGTTGGCTCCTGTTATCATACAGGTCTCAGAATTTATAGTAAAAAGTGGCTGTTCATGCTTAAGTTACTGTTTCAGGATGTCAGCATGAAAAAAAAAATCACTATGAACAATGTTGAGATACCAGTGACTTCCATTTAGGACAAGCTTGAATCATTTCACAACTGTACAATGCAGACAACTTCTTTAAAAATGAAAGCCAGTTTGTGAAATGTAGATCTTTAGGAAGAGATAGATTGTAGATCTTCTCGCTTTAGAAGTAAATAGTTTAGTATCATTCATAAATTCCCTTGCTTGTTCAAATAAAATCCTTAAGCTGTTTCTGAAGGAACCAGTGCTGTATTTAACACTGTGCATCAGGTTTCATTGTCAGTCCTACTAATCTATTTCCTTGTTAGCAATTTCTCTCTTTTGTGTATATATCTGGTGTAACTTTTGATCTGGAATGTATTTTTTTTAAATCCAGCAGTAGAGAACAACAGAGTACAGACTAAGACTGGCTTATAAGGCATTTGTTAATCTCTTACTTGGGTTTATTAAGCTTGCTTCTAAGAAGTAAATTTTATGAAAGATTCACAGCAACTCATCTAGTTATTTTGCATGACTTGCGGGAAGAAAAGCTTAGAAGTCAAACTGTGAGCCACTCATTACTAGTTGCTTAAAAATATCCTGTGATGCACTAAACAGTAGGTCACCTATTCTGAAAAGTTCAGCCTCGATTCAAAATGCAATTTGCTATAATTTTTCTTGGTCATAGGAAAAGCATTTTGAGTGGTTTAAGTTGATTTACATTCTGATTGTAAATTTGCATTTGTGTAACTTCAGTTGTCTTACTCCTTTTATAGCTAGGTCTACTTTTGATACCAGACCTTTAGATGTGTTTGAAGGGGAAGGCAGCGGACTTGCATATCCTAATTCTGAAGCGTTGTGTATCATGATATATAATGATTATATGAATTCTGTGTTTCTTCCTGTGATACGATAAGCTATTGCTTTGGTTTGTAGGCCAGGGTTTTGGAACTACTGTGGTAAGGATACTCAACTGAAATTCCTGCTTTTTCAGATGGAGGCAGGATCTGGACTATCCATGCTCCAGCAGCTATGGTCCCCTTTCTCGGGTTAGCCTTTCTATTTCCATTGGTTAAAATAAGCTTGTGTTTTCTTAGAACTTGAGAATTTTTTCTTGTAACGGATTGTGATCTTGAACACTGATTTGATGACCACATGCAGCTTGACTAGAATATCTGATCTAGCCCACTAGAGTATACTATAATTAAAATTTGTATGTTTTCTTGAGCATGTTCCATCTTGTGTAATTATTCCTATTATCTTTGTTTTATAGAAGCATTAAAAGAAATAGATGATGTCTATGAAAAGTACAAGTCAGAAAATGACCCTGTTCAGAAGAAACGCTTGCAGCAGCATCTTCAGCGTGCATTAATCAACAGCCAAGAACTTGGAGATGAAAAAATTCAAATAGTTACTCAGATGCTAGAACTGGTAGAGAATAGAGCCCGGCAAATGGAAACACACTCTCAGTGTTTTCAAGATCTGTCTGAGAATGAAAAACCTCTAGAAAAGGCAAAGATGGAGTCCTGCCAGCCAGAGAGATCTTCGCGTAGACCTCGTCGTCAGCGAACGAGCGAGAGCCGTGATCTGTGCCATATAGCAAATGGCATCGATGACTGCGATGATCAGCCACCTAAAGAAAAAAGATCTAAATCGTCCAAGAAGAAAAAACGCTCCAAAGCCAAACAAGAAAGGGAGGTTTCACCTGTAGAATTTGCAATTGATCCCAATGAACCAACTTACTGCTTATGCAACCAAGTGTCTTACGGTGAAATGATAGGATGTGATAATGAACAGTGTCCTATCGAGTGGTTCCACTTTTCGTGTGTTGGACTCACCTACAAACCAAAGGGGAAATGGTATTGCCCCAAGTGCAGAGGAGACAATGAGAAAACGATGGACAAATGTACTGACAAATCAAAAAAGGATAGGAGATCGAGGTAGTGAAAGCAATTCATGTTTTAAAGAGTTGCTCCTTTTATATTAAAATGTTTAATTTCCAGAGAACGCTGTTTTAGGAAATGCATAAGACTATGCAATAATTTTTAATCTATAATATTAATGGAGTATTAAAAGCTGTTATACCTTCTGTGATCTTTAACTTTCTGCACTGAATAACCAAATAATTGAAACAGGGTGGCTTCAGACCTTCACAGAAGACATTACAAGCATATGGCGCTTGTTTTCAATTTAACCCCATTAGTATTTTAAAGAACCTTGTCAATCTTGAAATAATGGTGGTGGGAAAGATGCTGAAGAACTTTTCATGTTACGGGAAAGGCATTGAAAGGCCTTACGTAACTTCTAGAATCTTAACTGAATTTGTTCTTTATTCCAGGTCTTAAGTTTTCAGGTTTTGTGTTAACATCACACATTTGGAATTAGGGTTTTTGGATTCAGCTGTAACTGTAAAAGTCTTCCGAGCTAAAAGCAGACCTCTTCAGTGACTTTCATATGACCAATATGTTATTTCAAGGAAGAAAATACCACTAACTTAAGCTTTTTTTTTTTTTTGTCAATATTAAACTCTTGTCTTTGACTTTACCCTTGGGAGTCAATTTTTGGATATGATAGAATTATGGTATATATGTAGCTTTGGATATTCTTAGTAGCTTTTGTTTGGGTTCTGTCAAACATCCTGATGTGGTCTTCATTGTTTAAGATGGTCTCTCTAATGCCCAAACTACTTTCTTGATTGGTTGTTTTGCTGCTGCCTATATATAAGCCTTGAAATGGTAGAAGGATCCCGTGAGAGGAGAGGATATTGACATCTCAGGGAACAGAAATTGCAAATATGATGAAATCTTCCTTGTAACCTCTAGAGACCTGAAACATGACTGGTGTTCTCTGGGATGTAAACTTTTCTTTTTGTTTACGTGGTATTTGTGTATGTACATGGCCACACCTGGGTTTAGGCACAGCACCACAGTTCTTGGACTTGGGCAACTATCTAAAGCCTGAAGGCAAAAGCTTTCAATAAAAGTTTTGATAGATAATAAAAAACAAACATATGCATGACTGGCACAGAGCCAGTAGACAAATTCCAGCACGTTTCCGACAGGCTACCTAACAGTGTTGTCCTGAAGTATGCTGGTAGTATCTAAACACTACTTGGGTGGTAGTTAAAAGTGAACTTCCTCACCCCCCACACCTTAGAGGAGGTGGAAAAAAGATTAAAACAGCTGTTCCTGCTGCTTTGCAAGGGGAGATGCTAGTAAAAAAGTGAGTAGTGTTCCAAAGCTTGCACCTCGGGTTCCTGCTCAAAGGTGTTTTTCCTTGAGACTGCCTGGGCCCTGGCTGGCTTGGCAAGGTAGACGGAGCAGCTCTGCGGGCCTGTGTGCAGAGGTTGTCTCTAGGTGGGCTGCAAGCATGCAGAAGTCCCTGTAGGTCTCTGCTCTTTGCTGCTAAGGTCTCCCTGGACAGCACAGAGGGAGAAGTGGTGCTGTGTCTGGCCAAGCCTGGGTGAAAAGCGGTTGTGCTGGGTTGAGAGCAGCCCAGAAGGCAGATGAGCAAAAGCAAGCCATGATGGATGAATGCCATCAAAATTGCCTCCTGCATCTCCGCTGGAGGGCTGTGATGGCTGGGGCGGGAGGGCTGGATGCACTGTGCTTGGCATAAAGAAAGCCTCAGTGCTGCTGGGCCAGATCGTACGAATCAATGCGCAGGACTCTAAATATTATAAGCTACGTAAAATACTGGGCCTGTTTCCACAGTTATGATCGGATTCCTTAACAGGATTTAGCATTTGCAAGTAATACTAGTTAACATATGGCAGGGGAGTATAAAGCCAGTGTTTTGAATTTTTGCTCTAAAATTGTAGGTGTATTAAGTGAACTGGCTCCACTGGGGAGATTTGTACCACAGTAAGCAAACAGCTCTTGCAGGAAACCACTGTAAGGGCTCTGACCACCAGCAGGGTGGGAGAGAAGGTAAACCTTATCCCAAGGCCCCGTTGCTTTCCAGGCCTAGCAGCTAATCTGAAGTGGCCAATATAGTCTTCTTGAGGGTCTGGATCATGGCTACTGATGGAAAATGATCAGGCCAGCTATTGGGAGATAAGTGTCGTAAGTCATCCTCTGTGTATTTTATTCGCTTTCCTATTAAGTACAGCTTGAAGATTCTTAAATTTCCTTCTTGGGAGGACTGGTTGGAAGGCCTGGGCTTGGGGATTGTATCAACATCTAATGTCTACCTGAGTGGCGATGCTCCCTAGTATGAAAAAACAAACATCACTTAAGTAAACACTGAAGTTGCAGAACAAAGTACAAGTGAAATTGTAACTATTAACTTTACTAATTTATCTTGAAAGGCATTGCTTGAATTTCTGCTGGCTAAATCAAGAATACTTTTTTTCCAAGGCAGAGGATAAAGCTGGGAGTCTTTTATATAATTCATCTGGAATAATTGCTAAAGTAGGAAGTGTATGTTGTGGAGTTACAGAAAGAAAATTTTAGGTTCTGAAAGTGGTCCAGATAAATATCTCTAATGCAGGGATGCTTTATTTTATGCTAATGGACCTTCCAGTAGGAAATATGAATTCTCAAGGTTTCCAGTGAAGATATTACTGGGGAAATGGCATTTGCTTGCCTAATAAATGAAATTGTTCAATGAGAAATAATTCAGTTCATAAGCAGATTAGCAGTGTGCCTCAAACATACACAGATACATCTAAAACCACCTATTTTAAGTAGTCTTGCTAATTTGTTGTTAAAATGTACATTAGAAAAGATCTGATGTTATCTGGCATTTAGCATTTCACCACGTGTCCTAACCATACCCAGATTCTGTGGTTTTGCATCCATTTTCATAGAAGATCAATGGTAATTGCCAAAGACGTACATAAGATGCTAGTGTGAAATCAGAAAGGTAAGCAGAGAACTGTTATGTTGCTTCTTAATGTTGAGTTCCTTCTCTTAAAGGGATGAACCTCATTAGTGAAGTGAAAAAAGTAAATACTGTTAAATGAGTTCATCTTCAAGATGTGTATTGACTATCATGAAGTAAGTGTAGCTGCTTGCAAAAAAAAAATCTGGGTAAAAACTTTTGAAGTTGATAGAAGTGTAGGTAACTACACAGGAAATTGCTTCCTCATGAAAATGAATGCTACATCCTAATCAGCTTAGGTTATGCTTTATTTTCTCAAAGCTTATGAAAATATGGTGCACTTCTAAGTTCTCGCTTTTTGCCTTTCAGTTTTGAAATCATGCCAGATCATCAAACAGCAAAAGGTCCCCCATAACTATTTAAAAGCGATAGTATCAGAGCAAGAGTATTTCTTGGTCATTGTCCCATGAACCGACTTGACTAATCTTGACGAAAGAATCATTTAATCAATCCAAACTTTAAAGCAAAAAAAAAAAAAAATACACCTAGTAGAAAGCTTACTGTTTTGAAAGCAAAATGAGCAATTTAATAATACTTGTTGTCTATATTATAAGGCCATCTTGCTATCTCCAGCAGATACTGCATTTTTTTTTGGACTCTGAAATTCTGGCAGGTCTGGAATAGCACTAAAGATTAACGCAGATTTCTTCCAGTTGCTGTGTATTAGTTAATCTTGTTTAAGCTGCCTGAATCCAAATACCGTTAATTACCAGCCATGATGGGTACAAATTCTTAAAGTATAGTCTTCTGCATCAGTCGTACATTCATACCTGTTGACTGCTAAAAAGCACAATGATAATACCTCTCTATTTTAGTTTTAACTGTATTTCCTTGCCAAGCATTAACTAGAAATAGTAATGTGATACTGACAAGTCTTAAAAATGGTACAGAAGGGTGGTAAGTGAAATGCCCCATTCTTCCCAGAATTTATCTAAGGATTTTCATTTTTGGATGTTCCTTTAGAGCTGAAATGGGCCTTTGTAAAGAAGATGGCGTTTCCTAACTTTGAAGATCCTTTTTTTCTTCATTTAAAAGCCCCTACCTTCAGCTTGAGGGAAACTACTACAGCTTGTCTGAATTAATGCTTAAAAATGACCAGTTTGGCACTTCAGTGGCTTGTACTATTTCTGACTGCAACAGATCTGATTCTTAAAGTCTCAATCTGAGCTTTTACTCTTTTAGACTCAGCTGGGTTGAACTGCACCCCATTTGGTCTCCCCTAAAACACCACCAGCCTATTGGGACAAAACTAGCAATTGCTACACCAGCAAGTTAAGGGCTCAAGAGTTCTTTCTCCCTCTAACCTGCATACATACTTCTTTTATTAAGAGGTCGCACCTCTAGTAGCTCTCTTAAGTCTTTGACATTGGCACCTCAGACTGAAAAAATACCACAGTTTTCATATGAAAGTCCAACTTGCTTTAAATGCTGCAATCTAATAGAGACTTTTTTTTTTTTTTCCCCCCCATACATACCTGAATCTAACAGAGCAATGATAAAAGCCCCTGCAAATCATGAAGATACTTTATCACATCAGGTAATATGTCTGAAGTTCCTTCTGTTGCGTATCTCAAAGCTAATACTGTATCAGTAGCTATTGCTTGCTGAAGCTTGCTTTAAACTCAAATGGCAGATGTATTAGTCCTGAACAGCAGCCTGTCTACGCGGCGAGTCTCAGCAAAGAAATGTATCACTGGCAAAGAAAAAACATCTTTTTTTATGTTATAGCTTAAAGTAGCATATCTTCCTTTGTCAGAACTAGCAACCCTGGCTAGTGTCTGTGGAGGAGGCTTTTGAGGCAGGCCAAGTATGGTTTGACCTGTGGAATGACACAGACAAGACAAATTAACTGAGATGTATTTTGGGAAGGTCTGCACTAGGCGAGTCAGATGAGATTAGGAAAGTAGTGGCGCTTGCTGTTTTGTGAGAGTTTCCTATAAGAGCCTAACTCAAAGGTTGAAAACCTTGAACAGAGATGTGTATCTCCCTGCAATTCAGAGTAAAGCATCTGTTCCTGAAGATACGCACTTCTCTCCCCTCACCTCTCAAAAGTTCTTTTGAGCTACTTTAAGCAGTTTCCTTGACCATTATGGCTTTCTGAACCTTGTTCACAGTGCATTGCTTTTCTTGGGCGCAGTGAACAGTTATGTCTCTGAATAGCTGTATTTAAGAGACCTGAGATGCTCCTTGTTTCTTTAATCAGACAGTCTAGTTTTCTTCAGGTTCTTCGCGGCTGCTAGCGGATACTTCTCCAAATAATTATTTTTGTTTCAGTGGAATAGATAGTTGGTTTTGCATCTGATCATCTCAAGATGATGAGCAGGGCTGTCACTCAAACTCACAGGAACTTTTCTTCTGTCCAGTGCTAGTTAGGTAAGACACTTTGCTGTCAGTGGTAAAACTAGATGTTACTGTGATATTCAAGTCCCACAGACTTATCCTAGAAGGAAAAAATGTTTATTTTTTACTATTATCATACCTCTCTTATAATGCCTGCCATGAAAGAATTGAAGAAGTTTGAAATCCTCTCTTTTGTGCCAATTTTCTGATTCTTTGGAACAGCTCAAGGATTATGGATTTCCACTACAGCTGGACAGTAAACAGTTCTATTTGGTGAAAATTCTAGCAAATTTTTCGTTAAGTGAAGCTGTGGTTTGGGGTGTAGGGTAAGAGTTCTAAAAGCTTATTTTGACAAATTCTGCTTCTTTTTTTCCCCTATTTCTACGTTCTTTTGGCTTACCTGGTAGGGAGAGTTCAATTTTAAGTCAGTCAGCAAGGTTTTAGCTGCAAGTATCAGGCTGGACTGTATCTCTGTTCTGCTGCAACTGTGTTCTAGCCGAACATTACTGACTAGCATGGCCAATTTCACACTTCAGAGATGTGGTTCGCTCATTGCATCCTTTTTTTTCTTAAATATACATCAAGGAAGTTACAAGTAGCATACACGCAGATCCAAACCGTAATTACTTCTGTTCCGAAGGCCTGTTTTTGTGCGTATGGATTAGCGCTTAATGGGCACACAGAAAATAAAATCCTCCCCAAAGTTTTGTTTCTGCATACTTACAGAGTGCCTCCACTGAAAATGGTACAACTGGTGAATTAATTTCACTGCAGTGATTAGCTGTGCACATTAAGACTAGTAGAAAGTTACAGTTTTATAGTTGGAGGAGTGAAGGGGGAAGCAACTTGGGTACTTCTGTGGTTGAATGTAGTGTGATTTAAGAAGCCTAAAAGGAAACTTCCATCTCCTGCTGAGAAACACAGTAAAATCAAAAGAATTCTAGAACCTTTGAGAATAACTTTCAGTACAGAAATTAGGATAAAAACCTGTCCTGATTTAAATAAAATTCTGTTGAGAAGGGTTCTACGCAGCATACAGATTTCCAGCTTCCTTTGACTAAAGCCTAAAAAAAGATTAAAGCTCCATGGCAACTGCTATCTTAACTCCTGACAGCCATAGTATAAATTACATTTTGGAAAAAACTAATACTGAAAGTTTTATTTAGGTCACCAGTCAGGCTAGGAAATAATAGGGTTATAGATACCACCCTGAACTTCATTTTGCCCCTGCATGGTCTCAGTGAGGCAGACATTTTTGTGGGAGGCAAACTGGATGCTGTATAATTATATGGAGTATGAATTTAAAAATCTGACAAGTTTTAGGTGTGTAAATTTGTTTCATACTTCTGGAGAAAAGACTAAAATTTACTTGCAACTGTAACCTTCCAGTGAGGAATACAGCAAAGTTCATCTGGGAGACAGCAGCTCAGGCAGGTACAATGTGAGGTTACCACAGTAGCTGCTTTTACTGGCAGTGGAGAGGCAGTATTGGTTTTTTGTTTTAGTTTGTTTTTTTTTTTTTTTTAATTAAACAGGGAGGGAGATGGACAGAGATTGTGCAATTAATTCATTTGCCCACAGATGCCCCAGCATTCATACTTGTGCCAGAAGCTACGGTCCCTTTCAGGTTTGTGTGGAGATAACTGCTTCCTCGCTGTTTGAGGTTAACTACAAATAGGTTATTATTTTGCATGGTGGAAGTGAATATAAATGGACATTAAAAATCTAGAGCAAAGGGAACCTGTGGTAAACAAGAACAACAAAACCCCCAAAATTTCTGCCATTTACATGAAGATACCTGGTACTGTTATTTCCTTAGTTCCACTTTCTCGTTCTTTGACTATTTTTGACCCTGTCCTCTATGGACTATGTGCTTTTCAGGCCTTGAAGAATGTCTTTAATTGTTGTCTGAGGAACACTTTATTGGAGCCATTAAAATAACCTGGTCCCTGAGATTGGGAGGGTTTGGAAACTGGCCTCATCAATCCTGCTCTTCACAGCAGGGACAAAAAGCGGGGGCTGCATGCTCCCTAGTCTGTTAGCTGCTGCTGAGCAGACTAGGTTCTGAATTATTTCAAGGCTCATTTTGACCTCATTAAATAGTAAGGTTTAAATCAGTCCTTAATATCCCATTTAAAAGGAGAAAGTACCCATCATTTATCAAAAATAAAACCAAGATAATATCAAAACTATACTAGAGCCGCAGCCCACTTATGTATGCCTACATTATTGCATACTTAGAAATTTTGCCTTGTAAATGTTTAATACTGACATGCTGTGTATTACTGGAGAAGGATGAGAAATAAAATTCTAGAAGATTACCAGTATAATAATCAGTTTTACAGACCTGCAAGTAGGACTGCTTTTGCTTTTTCCTCCAGCAGCTGGAGTTTGCTCATCACGGTATGATGTACATCTTTATAACCTGGAATAATGGTATGCTGGTGTTCAGATGGATCCCAAACCTGTGAATGGATAAAAACATACTCAAATACATACAGACAGTAAATTCTATAAGAAAAAAAACTAAATAGTTTCCTTTTTTTTCCCCAAAGGTGTAATATGGAGAAGCTAACAAACAATTGTGTTGTCAGTTGAACACAGTGAATTGTACAAGTTAACATGGGACAGAAGATAATCTCACTATTAAGTAGCTTTTGGGAGAGTTTTTAAGAAGTTTAAAAGTCAGTATATGACTTGGATTTCTGAGTATCAGATCATCAGAATTCCTGCATTGGTGAAGAACTCTTCATATTAATTTCCTAAAACTTGGAAATGTTAAATAATAATTGAAATTATACAGAAATAGACAGTTTGACATTTTCTAAATAAAAATACATACTTTGGCTGTGACTTTCAATGCAGTAATTGGTATCCTAATACTAGTATACACTGGAGTGGCAAATTCACCTATGTTAGGATTACACTTTATTTAGTAATAGAAGGTAAGAATAATTTTGAGTCTTTCCCCTCTTGCACTATTAAAATATTTGTAGTAAACTCCCAGGGTACTTCTGGGTGATTTTATGTAAACAACATTGCAATAAAATTTGTGATTATCATCCCAGCGCAATTCTAAACTCGACTTCAGAAGACATACCCCCCCTTCCCAGAGCCCTGCCAGATCAGGTAAGTGAACACGTACTTAGGCCGGTGCAGCAGCTGGCCCTGCTTGCTGGGGGGGGTGTACATTAATGCATTAGCTGATGAAGCGTTACGAGCCACAAAGCTTGTCTCTGTAAACATGCTATGCACTTCTGAAACCTGCTTGAGGATAAAATATGATGCTTCCTTGCAAAGTGACATTGTAAGTATTTAAATTTTTCTTTAGAGAAATCCTTAATGTTTTGTCACATGCGTGTGACTGTTGCCATGGAGGCAGAATTGGTTTGGGGGAAGCAGGTCAGACCTAAGTCTCATATTTAATAAAATTTTTTTTGCTAACACCTCTCTCTTGTATTTAATGACTTGTCATCTGTACTTGCTGGCACGAAGTACAACAGCAGAGAAGAAAGCACCCACAGATTTCAGAGGCTTGACTCTGGAGTGCACCAGGGAAAATGAACTGCAGCTTCAGTAACTGCCAAATGTAAAAGGCTGTTAAAACTCACAGGAATTAAATGAACTGAGAAGTTCAGAACTTTTCTTAATAATTCAAATCATGCAAGCCTTACAGGAGGAACATCCTGACTGTAACCAGAAACATACCTGCATTTTCTGTATCTGGATGAAGGATTTAAAAAAAAAAATTGTTTTAAAATCCTGATATTTTGGAATACAGCCTCAAGGCAGAAGTTTATTCAAAAAACTCAGTAGGAAGAAGTTGTCATTAAATTAAGATTGTGTTAGTATCCTTGCCAAAACAACAGATCATCTGATAAGGCTCATTCTTGAGCCTTATGGCCAAAGTAAATCTGCATATAAAGATACATAAAGTGTGCCCAGATTGTAGTCCTAGTTTTCCTTCTTGCTAAATTAAGCACAGCTTCTAAATGGAATTATCTGGTGAATATAAAAATGACATACTTCCATTCACTTCTTTATAGCTGAAGCTAAGTTCTTTAGGCTGACTGTGCTTTCAAACATCTTTTTTTTTCCCACTGATACGATTTTCTAACAGCTTGCACCTTTCCTTTCTGCCCATTTCTCCAAAGGTGGTGTGCAAACATGCTTCTCAGCAGATGCTTCATCTCCTATTTAACAGCCTGAATAACCGATAAGACCAAGGTACACTTCTAAACTGTGGCCTTGGCAAAATATGGAATCTGCACAAAGCAGGTTCTGTCTCTGTTCAAAAGCTGGCTCTATTAAAAAAAAAAAAAAGCCATGAACGCATAATGATTTTGAAACTTTATTTTTGCCTTGCATAGCAAAAATGAGGAGAGACACTGGGTACAAGCTCCTGAATTAAAGCCAGTCATGCAAATACTGACTAATGAGATAGCACTAAGCTCATTCCTGTAAGATACTGCTTGCATTTTCAGCAAAATGCCCAAGTTTCTACTGAAGGCTTAAGTGCATCAACTGAATGCATCTAACTAAGGTGGCCTAGCTGAAGTCATCTAACTCAAGGCTCTGAAACATGGATAACCTCCTGCTGGGTCGGGGTTCTTAACACACCATGGGAAGTAACTGAAGCAGTAACTGTGGTACTGCTGTTTCTGCCAGGCTTTTGAACCATGTAAGAAAATATAATATTTAATGGAGCGTTATGAGTTTCAGTTGAAGATGGTGCTGATATAAACAACTCCATTAAAACAGGCTGTATAATAGCTTTGGCATAGTTTTATTTCAGTGTATCATTTCAAACAGATCTCTGTTTAAGCCTTAAATAAAACCCATTAGAGATGGGTATTATAGCACCGTGTATGCTGTAATACTTGGAAAGATCATGAAACAGCACAATTATAGAGGCTGACTGGATTTCCCATAGCTCTAAATAAATGGCATGCATAGCTTCTCCTTACTACCATACAAGCCTTAAAAGCACTTCAGTGTTTTCTAAGTCTTATTTTGATATGAATATAGACACTGGAATCCTGTCACCTTCTACTGGACTCTCAGTGGATAGTTAGGGATGGCTGTCTGCCTTTATCTCTAAACTTTGCCCAGATTCCCTTATTTTGTTGGATGCTTGGACTTCTAAATGGTACGTACCTTCTTCAGCCGAGACTCTCCCCATGTGTCCCTGTGATTAGATTTTCACTCCAGAGTGGAATGATCATCATCTACTTCAGCTGGGGAAAGGGGAGGCCATTCACAAATAGTTATACTTAAACCTTAGTCCCATAGAAAGAGAGCACTGCTTAATAAAGATGACACACAACAAAGTCTAATTTCAGTAAATCGTGCGACTCTAGTAATGACTGCACAATGTTCCTGCTCATTTCCAGTTTAGGAGATCAGAAGATGTAAGCAGAAACTAATTGTCATTCTAAACCATTGGTTATCTGTCATTTATCTAATTTCTTAAGGTAGCAAAAACCTGGCAAGATGACCAACCATAGTTTTATCATACTTGGTGAAAGGATGCAAGTGAGTGGAAGAAAATGATGTAAGAGTAATTTTGTTTAAAAAGATAACTCAAAGTAATTTTTACAAACATGCAAAATCCTTGACCTATTGGCAGAAGTGCAAAATCTATTAACTTGTTCTTTGCATTTCACAAAGTTAATTTATCAACATCAGCTAGCTTCCTCATTTTTCCTTTCTGAGAACGTAATTTTGTAAGGGAACTTGATCGTGAGTGTGATTGTGGAGTGTACCATTCATGTAATAACAAAAGAGGAATATATTCAGGAGTTTACCCATTTTCTGTCATGACTCCAAACCCAATTCTACCGTCATCATCTGTAATTGTCAAGCAGGACACATCTGTCTCATTTGTCAATAATTTTTAAACCTAAAATTTAGAAAAACAGTAATTTTAAATACCCACCAGATAAACACTTCTATTATTAATTTGCTATTAGTCTTAATGAATAGCACTTTAATGATTATTTATAGTACAATAATCAATGGCAATTAAAAAATCCTAGGATTTGAAGAACGTAAGATCAACATGTCACTAATTTTGTGCCATTGGAAAAAAAAAAAACCACCACCAAACAAAACATCCACAGATCTTGTGAGATGAATAAATTGAATAAATAGGAAAGTTGTTTTAAGACATGTTAAGTAATTATATGCTACTCAGTTTTGGAAACTACACTTAAGGGTGGAGGGAGTTCAATAGGCAATAAGATAGAGAAGAGGCGTAGAAGACAATGACTTCTAATGAAAAATAGAACAAAGCCTTGAAACAAGAGGACTGAAGTCAGTAGTCCTCAGTAATGTGAAAGTTTGCTTCCGAGAGGAAAGGGACAATATGTCTAAGTGAAAAGGACAATCATTAATGTCCTTCAGATGGAGCACTGAAGGTTTAAATAAGACACTAGGGAGGAAACAAACCAAAACTGTCCAACCATAACGACAGTGAAGCACTGGAATATATTACTTTTGAAAGTAAAGATCTCCAGTGATGAAGATGCTACAAGACAGGCTAGACAATCATGTCAGCATCAGTTTAATTATAACTGATCCTGGCCTTGGGCAGGGGAAATGGATTGGATCAGCAGTTCTTGAGCTGTGGGAAGGCACTGACATATCCTTGGAGGCCCAGACAGAGCTCCAGAATAATTTAATCTGATATTTCTCCTTCCTCCTACCTTTTCCCCTGAAAGTTCTCTCTGAAAATCATTTGAAGAATGCAATATTTACTCTCAGCTTGCAGGACAGGAGGGGAGCAGAGCCATCAGATCCACCCTACCTAAGGGCACATTTTGAGCATTTCCAGTGGCTAGCTGGGTGGACACTTGTTGCCATTTCCCTTCATTCCCCTGGCAAAAGTGAGCTGAACTGTGTTATGCTACCACAGCAGCACAAAGTCCATGGGGAAGGCTGACCTTTCTCTTCACAGTGAAACCCAGGTCCACAACTGAGGGACATTTAAAGGCATAGGATTTGAGAAATCATGGAATTTCCCAGGGGCATCAAGACTAGGATCAGGGAGAGGAAGTTTGTAATGATACCCGGTGATTCAGGCAATGATTGCAGAATACAACTACCCAGGGACAAGATTCTAGCTGTTGTAGAGAAGTGCTACCTGTTTGCTAGAGTGAAAATAAGGGTGTTTGCAGATAGGAAGGTCCCATCCTATTACAGTAGAAAGATAGGCATCATCATCATCATCATCATCATAACAACAACAACAATAAAAAATTCTAGTACCATTGAAATAACTTACCTCCTAAATGGATTTCCAGCTCTGCTTTCTACTTGTTGCATATGTAATTATTTAATAACAAAATAACTATATCCTCCACACTTGTAGAAAATTTGATAGATATTCAGGTATTTTAAGCAGCAAACCTGGACACTATGCTTTGGTTTCTACATATTGAAGAAACACTGGAATAATGTTTCACAGTATTTTCTTTGATAAGTCTTAATTTTTGGTGGAAGGGACTGGCAAAATGAGTACATGAATTTTTAGCAACTAGAGAACATGTTCAGTAAGTAATGCTTACTGCTGATAATTTCTGAGTAGTTTCATGCAAATATTCACCATCCAAACTCTGGTTATTTTTATAAATACCACATCTAGCAGTCACTTTTCAACATGAAAAGTGCATTTAAGCTTACAAAAAATAATACCAACCTTTCTGGTTTCTATGTTCCACAGTATGACATAGTCAATTTTCTCTTCGTCAGTGTGTCTGGGAAGCACCAGATAGTGGCTGGTGTAGGTCAAGGCAGTAGTGTATAGAAAAGAGGATGGATGTGATAGTTTCAAGAAGATGGAGTTGGCACAGGGCTTGCAAACTGAACTCAGAGAGATGGTGCCTGTGGCCCGAACACTCGGTGACCTAGGGAGCAGGACTTCATCTGGCAAGTCAGTCACAAGCTCAAGAACTTTTCTGCAGATTTATGTCAGCATTTTTCTTTTTTATTCCATTAATATATAATTAAAAATATGTACCCTTTTCTCAATCTTACCTTATTTATTTATGTAAGTAGTTAAGTGGCATAGCTGTTGGTCAATGAACTTTAAAACCAAATGGGCCTCCAGGCATAAGTCCTCTCATATGGACATACAAATTATTGTATATGTACACAATATGCACTTGTAACTACTTCTCCAGCTGATCTCTCTGTTGAACTGATCTCAGACTGAGAAAATCAAGGTAAATCACAGCAAATGAACACAGGGCTGAGACTATCTACAGTAAGTCAGATGGGAAACTGTTCATGGTAAAGCCAAACACAGCCCACCAGTGATACTTTATATATGCAGATGACAGTAAATAGCAAAGATTATTAATAACCTTTGCAAACTTGTGAAAAAAAGGAATTCTGGTTACAACACAGTGGAACTGTAAAATCCTTACTAAAATTTAAAATTTGATTTTTAGGAAGAAAAACTACAGAATTTCCTATTAGAAAATTAAACACCTAGGTCAATTAAGCAATGAAAAGGTGGACTTAATTATGATTATGACCCCAGAACACTTAGTTGTTTGAGACCTTCCTGATACCAGATCATAATGGAAACCACAGAGTGAAAACAAGCCAGAAATAAGTAACACAATAAAAAAAAAAAAAAAAAAAAGGAATACAAAGTAGGACAAAATAGCTTCTCAGCATTCTAACAGATGTTACATAATATATCCATAGGTAAGCAGAACAATATTTTGAGACTTGAGAGAAACTGTATAAACATGATACATTAGGAAGTTTCTCAGCTTTTCATCTCCACTAAGCAAGTACCAATCAATGACATTATGTCTTTCACTAGTTAGTTCCTTTTTTTCCATTTCTCCAGTCTCCTTTCCTGTCTTAATTTCCTTGCACCTTTCCCATGGTGTCCAAAGTTCTGAAAAAATATTAAATATTGACACTTGTCACCTGATACAACCTTCTAATTACATTCATTGAGGCAAAATTCCTCAGATGGAAGGATGCACAATTTACCTAATAGGTGATCGCTACAATTGCAAGGCTTCTGGAAAACCTGCTTCCTTCTCATCTTTTGTATATTATAAGCAGGTGGTGATAGACTGCACCTTAAATAACTACTGTGAACAGCAATAGTAGATTCAAGATAAACTCCTTGCTCAGAAGTCAAAATAGGCTGTCTGCAACTCCAGACTCTAAGAGGTGAATGGAAAGTAGTGAGGAAAACTGTCAGCATGCTTACCTTCCATCCACCCAGGCCTGCCTTGCCAGTGGACAAAACTTATGGGTGTACAGATGGAAAAAAAGATCGGAAAGCACTGGTTTAGACTGATGTCTAGAGAGACAGTAATGCTACTTAAATAGTATTTAAGCGAGCATAGTTACAATTCCTCCTTCCCACTTCTCAGGCAGCTAGGGTCACTAATTCTTGCAGTTGAAGGAGAATAATTGTACATCAGTCTGGTCTTCGTCCTTTTGATCTCCCTGCTTCAAGACAAGGGCACTCTGGCTTTAAGGAAGGTTACAATGACCTAATTTAATTATTTCAATAATTCATATTTCAGTGCAAATCCATGGCCTGGACAACCGCTGTTTCAACTCCAGCTCTGCAGTGCTAAAGAAGTCAAAGTTGTCATCTGTTGGTCCCTTGCTCATTCTCCTTTTGGGTGGAGTTTCCTGGTAACAGGCCCCTGGTGGCCTTTGACAGAAGATGGCCTGCTAGAATAGGTTGCTCAGGAGTTTTCTTTGTATTCTGGCTCAGCCAATCCTTTACAAACCCAGTCTCTACATTCCCAATGACAAAAAGGTCCCTGGCAAAACATCAGGATTCTTTGGTATCACATGAAACATGTTCTGGGAACAGCACCAAAAGATCTTATCCAAACATTTCTCACAGACCTCACAAATGCTAGGGAAAACCAACTCAGCCCAACAGGCACAGGGAAGAACGAGTTTCATCTTTATGCTCCAGTGAGGTCTTTATTACTTTTAGAGGGTTTTATCCCCAGAAAGTGACTTCTTTTGTCTTCCTCCATTTCTGGAAAAGGGAGCCTTAGCTCACAGTTCGGGTCCCACAGTAGCTTTGAAACTAAGCAGCACAGCTGACCTTAACCAGACTTAAAGTTTCCACTCAGATACACAATATACTGTAAAGAATTGCTTATTTTCAGATTTTAACTTTATTTAGAGAGTGTTTACTTCTATAAGTATCTGATGAATTTGAAGAGAATGTCCTTTATGCTAATGACTATTGTGTCTCAGGAAAATTAAAATTAAGATGGTTGACTGAACAATCATTCTATTTAGAAGTACTTAGCAGTTAGCTGTATGGAACACTAACATATGATTTGTTCTACATGTACAACTTTGTGAATGATGCAATCGGTGCCAGAGACAAATTCTTACCTATTCTTAAAGGCCAAGCAGTATCCATCCCTCCTTCAGAAATCCTCTACTTTGGCAAGGAATGATGTAATGACCTGACTGTTTCTTCACATACTTCTTTTTCAAAAGGTCATAAGTTAGCAGAAGCTAGTAAAAATATTAAAAAAAACCCAAACAACCACCTTGCCTTCTTTGTGTAATTAATTATCTAAGTAAATGTCTTGTTTAATTAGGTTTTACAGAAATGTAGAAAAAAAAAATCCATAAGCATACACCCCCCCAAAACTGAATACATTTGCATTTAGTACCTGAAAAATTAGTGTCGGAGAATCCCTAAGAGAGGCCAATCCTTTGTCTGTAAAGACAGAGAGTTTTGTATCCCTCAGCAGCACAATTTCAATGCTTTCTACAAGTCTCTTTTCCATTCTAACAGCATGACATTTTGATTTCACTATGTTCCACACTGTAATCATTCCATCAGTGAGATTCCCGCATACAATATATCTCCAAGACAAAAAACACCCAAAGCACTCACCAATCTGACTAGTAAATATTCTGCCAACAGAGTTGTCCCTGTTATATTTTAAAGTTTGAAGTGGCTTGGTCTGTGAATCTTCTGAACACTCCTATGACAATGATCTCCAATTCCCCAGCACAGATATATGTGTATCCAATTGCAACACAGGGCTGAAATCCTGGCCCCACTGAAACCAGTGGGAATCGGGAGTTCACTTTTGGAGTTCTGAGTTTTCATCATTCAAAAAAAATTTTTTTTCTTCTGATTTTTGCTGTAATTTGACTGAGGCACATTCTAAAAAATGTCTCCACATCAAGGTGTTTTGAAGATGAGCCCTTTGGCTAACTCTTTATGTTCAACTTGTTTTAACTGGATGATTCCAGCAGTGCTCAGCGTCACATTCATTTATGTCAGTTCTGAATCCAGCCCTTTGCAAGGTGTAAACCACTTCAGAAATAGGCAAGGAAATTCAGGCACAAATTATAGAAATCAGTATATTTTGTCCATTCTTTTTGGCAGAACCACCTTTCAAAGTTTTCAGTCATGTTTTTAAATGCAACCCTGTGCCTGACATGTCTTGTCTGTTACCTGCCCTAATCTGAAAGAAAGGGAATGTTTAAACATCAAATACCTGCATATTTTGAACTTGCCTGGGACAATTCTGCATAGCCACAATGTCTCAAATTCCATCTGTGGTTTTTCCCTTGTTTATAGTAACAGTGAAAAACTGGTCATTGATCTTTGCAGCCAAGTTCCACATTTGAAGGTAGTTCTCTCCACCACAAAAGACTAGACAAAGAAATTCAGGACAAACACCCACATATTTAAGGTTAAATTGAAATAAAAAAATGTAGCACAGGAGTAGAATATTCTTCAATTAACATGTGTGTCTGCGGTTATTCTACTGGGACTATCTTGTGAGGTTGCTTGGATGGTCTACCTGAATTTTGCTCTCCATCTTTCTGGTAAGTACACAAAGGCCAGGTACACAAATGTCTGCACTGGTGATCACTTCACTTTTTAGGTGACATACAGGATGCTGACCACTATGTATAAAGCCTGATGTGATCTGGCTTACAGATAATGGAGAAATCAGCAAAATTTTCTCTCTGCAAATGTCTTACCACAACAACTGTGTTCCAGGCAGGAAGGAATGTTTCCAGGTATCTTTTCCTGAGATAAGTGGCACAGAATTTAAGAACTTGGATTTTTTTTAGAATAAGCCATTGTTTGACTTTAATGCCACCAAATATACATTTTAATCTCATATTATTTACAAGAAGATATTAAAAGTATATTCAATTATAGATCTTTGGTGATAGTATTCAGTTTACTGATAAAGTATTGAGATTGTAACAGAAGCTTGAATTCAGCACTGAAAATCTTATCTTTGGTTTCCAGAATGTGGAGACTTTTAGGATTAGAGAGTACATTTCAGTGATAAGGAGCAATCATCACCTTTGGAACTTAATTTAAATTCACATAAAGTTCCACAAAATTCACATGAAATTTTACTTATATCTCTTGTATTCTCACAAGAATGAATAGACTTGTTCACCACTTAATCCCATCTCCTTTATCGCTGTTATCACCACAGCCAGCAATTAAGCACCATGCAGCTGCTCGCTCACTCTTCCCCACTCCCAGTGGGATGGACAGGGGAATAAAAAAGAAAGTAAAACTCATGGGTTGAGATAAGAACAGTTTAATAACTAAAATAAGATAAAATATATTAATAAAAATAGAAATAGTAATGAAAAGGAATATAACAAAGAGAGAAAGAAATAAAACCCAAGAAAAGACAAGTAATGCACAATGCAATTGCACATCACCCACTGACTGATGCCTGAGCAGCAGTCAGACCCTCCTGGGTCAGCTCCTCCAGTTTATAAACCAAGCATGATGTTTTATGGTATGGAATATCCCTTTGGCTGGTTCAGGTCAGCTGTCCTGGCCACGCTCCCTCACAGCTTCTTGCGCAGCTGCTTGCTGGCAGAACTTGGGAAACTGAAAAATCCTTAACTTAGGATAAGCTCTACTTAGCAACAATTAAAACATCAGTGTGTTGTCACCATTATTCTCACACTGAATCCAAAACACAGCACTGTACCAGCTACTAGGAAGAAAATTAACTCTGTCCCAGCTGAAACCAGGACAATCACATGATTGATTTCAGAACAATCAGGTCAGTTGATATTAATTTTTTTAACCCCATGGCACACTGGTTTTCATTGTAATCTTGTTACAGATGTTCATGTGAAATAGTGGGATATTAAATAATGTACCATGGTAAAGTAGAAGAGGTTATTGAAATAGAATACAGACTGACAATATCTATAGTTTGAGATTTCCATAGGCATGATCCTTTCAGAAATTAATCAAGCCAAAGAAACAATTCTCATTTATTTAACAAATGGCAACAGAAATGAAACTACTCACCTCCAAGACGAACTGAAGGTAACTTGGCCACATGCCTGTGGTCTTCAGATTCCAGAGTATTATCTCAGTGGTATTAGTGTCTGGAATACAGCTGAATGTCACAAGATGATGGCCCAGGTGATGAATGAAGCAGGTGCAAATAAAGTCATTGTAGTAACCCTGAAGAGAGCAAGAGTAGGCAAAGGTGCTAACACTGAATAGTTCTACTTGCATAATAGCCTGCTGCCTTGTGAGGAGTAGCAGAGCTGTTCATAGCAAGAGGGATGTTTCTACTACACCACTACAGGCACTTTTAAAATAGCAGTTATTTTCAAATCTGTAACACTATCTGAAAAGAAAATGTGCTCTCTCAACAATATTTTAGGGTCAAACTCACCTCAGCAAGGGCAGTCCTGTTGCCTCTTCTGAAAGTAATGGAGTAGTACAGAATTTTCCCTTGGAGCATCTCCCAGGCGTGGTAGAATACAGTTACCAGAATCTGGAAGGTTTAATGGAGGTGCAACAGAGCTGAAACATCCTACCTTCAGACAAAACACAACTGGGTGAAAAGGTCAGGGGTAAAAGCCCAGATTTTTAGGAGGAATTAGGCACCTAGAGTTACTGGAAGACTGCCAGTGTGTTTTTCAAAAACTCCAGAGGAATTTAGAAAAGATGCTCTTGAAGACCTCACAGGTCACCCAAATATTTTAAAAAATTGGGCACAACTTCCTTTTCTGAAAAGTCAAGAATATAGTTCCTAGACATTCATTACCTAAAGATCACAAGGAAGTAGTCATTAGTTACAGCTTCTCACTGAACAGTGGCCACAGAGTCTTGGCATATTAGCTTAACCACATCTCCTTTGCTAGCAGTGAACACCATGGCTTCTTTTCTATTGTTGTACAAAAGAAGAGTTAATTAAAACAGAGAAAACATACTTGTAGCCTTATTCTGTCACACTACTGAATAAAACCTGAAGACTAAGTGCATGTACAAGGAAGACAGAATTGTTTTCAGATGTGTATGCACAACCCAGTGCAAAAAGTAAATGACAATATCAAGTCTCTACTGTCAGAATCAACTAGATGAGCAAGGTACAGAATAAACTCCAGACACTCTGATGCAGCCTGATTTGGACTTTTTATACCAACTATCACATGATTGGGAGGGGGAGGACTGGAAGGGTTATCTTGCTGCTCTGGCAGTGACAGTTCAGGAATGAAAAACTATCAGATTGCCAAATATGCTAGCTAATTGAACATTTTAATGCTATAAAAGATTGTCATGTACAGTAGTTAGGATATTTAATGTGGTTTGATTTTGCTTCTTTTGAAATATTTTGCCCTCATCTCTGCCTGCACTGAATTTAGAAGCAGTATACATTATGATTTTCTGTGCTCCCAATGTCATTAAAGCCTTCAGACATACCAGTGGTAAAATACGGGACTGAATAAGGACATCAACACAGTCTTTGGATGACTCTATAATCTCTTATGTATGGCCTATTGCTTCCGTCCTCTATCATCAGTTTTCTTTCTAACACTTTACCTTAACTCCTTGCAGCTGGATTTGCCTTTGCAAACTATTTCTATCTTTGATACAGAATACTGACAGTGCCATTTGAAAATTGAATTATTGTGAGTGGCAGACACTGGAGTTTTCCTAAACCTCATTATTCAAATCCTGTCAAACATACTGTGTAACTAATTATGACCATCGTCTCCTACCATTGTATGCTATAGAAGTGAACTAGTCACCCTTAGAAAACCTACCATTTTTTTACGTGACTACAATATTTACACAGAGCAAAGATGAATAATGAAATCCCAGCTGATACTAGGAGTAGGACATCAACTGAGAGAACACTCCTGTACTGCACTAGCACAAATCTTGTTCTCAGAAATTTCAGTTTGACAATCTCAAAATACATTGCAGAGAGCTGTATGCTGGATCAAATCACAAAAGAATGTCCTTCAATTCATGTTTGGAAGTACTCAAGTACTACTTGAATAGCAGTTTGTTAGTGAAAGATACAGTAGGTTGTTGAAGGGATGAGGGATTTCATATCTACAAAGTGCACATTTAGGATTAATCCCTTATAAAATTTGGATTTGGATTATAGAATGACCATACGTCAATTTTAGAGCAATGGAGTAAATATAAAAATATTTTTAACAGACCAAACTTTCACAAAAATATAATGATGGAAGGTTGATATTTAGTTAAGTTATGAAGATGAATTTTTTAATCCTGAATTCTCACTGGTAAAAAATACTGCCTACTACTCTATAAGCACATGGAATATAATCTTTCACTGATTTTCTTGATATAAGTATGGAGCAATCCCTGTGTACAGGAGTATCTGCTGAAGAAATGCGTATTTCAAGAAGCAACTGACATGAATACATCAGATCAAACCCCTGAAATAATAAAAAAAAAGTATAGGTTCAAACACAGAGCTCAGTGTATTTCCTAAGTCTACAGCTGCCGTATATTCCTTTCACTACCCTGACCTCAGAATAAAGTGTGCAGTAATAAATTTCTGAGGAGAAGGGAAGTCAAATGTGAAAACAGACAATATGAAAGTATCACACCCACACAAAGCAAGAGAGAAAAATAAATCCAAAGAAGAGAGAGAACTGAAACAAAGATTGAAATGACAGTGGGAATGAAGTGCAGTGACAGAAGAAAAAAGCTGTCAGAAATAATTAGGAGGACTGTAAAAAATAATCCAAGAAAACTAAAAAAACCAGAGAAGTCAAGGGTCATTTTATAGCTAGTTAACTGCATCTGAAAGAAATTATAATATAATGTATCTCCTCTTCCAAAAAAGTTGTAATATTTTCCTCCCTTCTATTTTCTTTAATTAAGAAAATCTTACCGTGTACATTCAAAGTGACATACAGCACTGTAATTTATCCAAAAACCACTGCTGAGGAGGTGCAGTTGTAAGCTGCATAAGTTAAGGTTAGTTTTGGTTTTCAAATTTATGAGCCTCCTGCTAATATTTTCTGAATTTTTTACATTTCTCCTTTTATTTACTACATTTGACAGATTAATTCCCATTGAAATGTTGGAAAATCTTATTAAAAACCCTGATGTTATACATTATTTAACTAAATTGACAACAAAATAAATACAGAAATAAGTCCTCCTCTCTGAAATGCTGAAATATGGATAATGAGCCCTTTGTAAGTTAGATAGGATTCAGACATTAAAAAAAAAAATCTATCAAAACTTCACACTCCAGCATATAAGGCAACTTCTAACTAAAGAAGCCATAAAGTAAAGTCCATTTGACAGCAATTTGATATAAACTGTCTTGTACATTCCTTTGAAGGACATAACAAAATACTGTCAAGGAACAGAAACCTGAGCTGAAATTGAGATTATTTGCTGTGATTGTTACCATTTTTTCATTACAAGATTTTGAATTTGAAAAAAAAAAAAAAAAAATCCTACAGTAGGTCTAATAAGCTGTTTACCCACAACTGGTGGTGTAGAAAGCAAATTTGACTGTTATCTAAGGAAGTTTCAATGCCTCTCATTGGTCATAATTCTTATGACCAATAGACTAATCGTTTTGCAGAAGTCAAAGAATACCACAGCACTGAAAATTACAAGTTACTTGAGCAAGTAGCAAGCATCTTAGAAGCAATAAGGACCAGCTTTGTATATGACTGCTTAGCTATAATTAACTGTGTGAGCTTTCCTGCCTTTTGTAGTACAAAGTCAACTCCACCTATTCCTAAAGACTGTTTATGTTTATATGGTCAGCAACAACTCAGAAATGGCATAAGCTGTTCCTTACCACATTTCATCATGTTTCAACATCTACTTATTTCTCTGTGGATGACTTGCTCCCAGTGCAGAAGGAAACATGTGGGAAGAAGGTCATTTGTCCAGAAGGACCAGCACTACTCCTGTACTCTAAGTCAAAGGAAGATTTTTATTAAAAGTTGATGAAATATAAATTGATCTTATGATTTAATGAACTGAAAGAAAACCAAGAACAAGAACAATAAAATCCCTGTCACCTTGACCAATTGGTTATGATAAAAAAACCTCCAGGGAGTTCCCTGTTCATTATCCAGATCAGTATTAGCACATCCAAGGCAAGGAGATATATGTGTTAATCCCTTCATGTTTACTGATAAATAACTTAGTTATATCAACACTCTCAAGATTTTTTTTTTTAATATTTCTTATTATGGGACTTGTCAGGCTCCTAACCTGTTCACCATAGCACTAAGACTTAATTTTAAATCATTGTAGAGGCCTGGGGTTTTTACATGTAATAATGAAAGCATAGCTTGATATAATTAAAAAATGGCTTGAATTTTAACAAGCTTTTATCAACATACATCTAAGAAACCACTGCAGTTGAGCTGGATAAAAAAATCAGAACGTTCTTCAATATATCATCATCAATTGGGATGAATCGGAATATGTCAAAATACTGTGATTTTTAAGGAAAAATTACAATATGTAAGTTTGGAAACACTTAAGCATTTAGTTCCAAAATTCTCAGTCAAAATAAACACTTTAGACACTTAACATTTCTGTGCTGAACAAAATCAAAACACTTAATATGCATGATCTATACCTTCTATCTTTTTTCAGCCAATTTATTGCTTGATAAACAAAATGTCAGTTTAATTTATAGCAGAAATATCTCCCAGCCTGTTTGTAGTCAGGAGTTTTGAGAGATTTCCTTTTAGAGACACAGATAACCTAATCACCCTTGTTTCTGCCTGGCCTAATTTTCTCAGTGATAATTAGTTTACTTTCAGAGTTATTTCTCTTTGATACAATTTTGTTGTTCTTACTCACATTACAAAGAACAGCATACATAAAACCCAGAGAACAATGACATGTACATCACAAGGTTTTGCTTTCTTGCTTTGGCATAGGGAGGTGCACTGATTTTCTACTTGGTCCCCACCCAATCCCAAGTTAACTTTAGAACAGATGCCCAAATCCAAATCCAAAACCCTGTGAAGTGTAAGACAGGACTTCCACCAGGGCACTCCATGGGAATTGAAAGGCCAACTCAAGTTGTGCCAAGGGGAGGTTTAGATTGGATATTAGGAAAAATTTCTTCACCAAAAGGGTTGTCAAGCACTGGAACAGGCTGCCCAGGGAAGTGGCTGAGTCACCATCCCTGAAGATATTTAAAAGACATGTAGATGTAGCACTTGGGGGCATGGTTTAGTGGTGGATTTGACAGTGTTAGGTTAATGGTTGGAATCAATGATCTTAAGGTCTTTTCCAACCTAAGTTGTTCTATGATTCTATGAAAATCAGTTCTTGGCTCCAGCTCCCTCTGGTGGGTAACGTACACTCCAGAGAACAGCAACTACTGGTAAAGGTAACCACCACGAAACAAAACAACCTGCAGATTGCTATATTTTTCTTAAAATACACAGAAATATACCAGCTGAGTAATTATTATTACTGACATCAGAGCTTTAAGCTGAAACTTGAGACATT